ATACTTATAATTTTTAATTATATTTTTAGTCATATGACAAACAGACTTTTCATTCAGCAACGCCTCCGCCATTTGGCCTTACTGGCAGTCAAAACGCTGGTTTGCCTGGTGCATATGGAACACCGCATTTGTTTATCCCAACTATGCCCCATCAACTGCATCAACCACTTCATCAAGATGGTGGAAGCAGTACAGGTCAAAGGTCTAATACAAGTTCCCAAAATAAAGCCCAAACAAAACCTGGATATAGTCCTAGTTACTGGACTGGAAACAACTAAAAACTTTGGATTAGAGAAGGAAAAGGAAAGAAGCACCATTTTAGACAAACTACAATTTCGCCATTGTGATACACGGTGGTGTGAGATATGGACATAGACCTAAATGACAAAGAACACGAGACAATTTTTTTTTTCTCTTTTTTTTTCTGTGAAACTAAATGATTCTAGTATGACACGAGTCAATGTAAAATGTAAGATGGATTTTAAAATATGGAAGGATTAAGCAATTTTTATTGATTTTGTGTTTTGCGGGATAAAAGTTTCTTTTTGCATAAATCTTTATGACGCAATTAATCAAAGAAGCATTATACTCTTCTTATTTAGTAGTATTGATTTCTTTATTCTTATGATATTTCGATATATTATGTTGGATGGTAAACATCCTTTAGCGCGTTATCTTATAATTCTACACAATTCTTTAATTGCATTAGGTTTTTCGTGTGTATAATGCGGTATATATGTTTCTGTATAAATAGATTTTTCTTAACGTGAAATATGTTATGCAAAAAGCAAAGAATAGTCAAATGCAGCGCAAAAAAATTGCATAGTTCTTCCAAATGTGAGGCGCATTCGTGCCAAATAAATTTATAGAGTTTGTAACGTATAAAATCATGGAACGTATAATTATACGTATTTGTCAAGATGACGAGGACGAGCAAAATTTATTGTGGTATGTTGAAACGCTACAAAAATCAAGATTTGTGAGTAGCATCACTCTCGTGTGAAATACTGGAAAGATGATCTAGAAAAGTAATTGACTGTTAAATTTACTCCCGATCTCCTATCTGTATACTACTGTGCAATTGCGAATATACTGCATCGACTGTAAAGGGTGATAGTTTTTTTTGTATGATGTAGGCATCTCAGCTCACTAACATCTAAAGTGCTTCTTTACATGAAAATAAAGCACCCCATTCGTGATGAAACGTAAAACTATACTACTGTAAATTACAATTATTGTATGTATTTAACCATGAAACATCAGATATATAAAGTTATAATCGTCATAATGTTGTCACTTTTGGTATTTACAACGGATGTATAATCGCACTAGTTTTGCATTCTTGCGCGCACCTACATATACATATAATTTGATTTGGTCACCTTGCATTTCTTCTTCTAGTTACCAGAATTTATCAACATTATATTTTATTAAAAAAAAGCTATCAAACCAAAAAGAAAATCTATCGTCATACCATATTTTCAAAGAATGTTGGATTCAAAATGAGAACGGTACTTATTTAATATATCTTATGTTTATGAAAACAGCGTCGCAGATTAAACAGTGCCACAAAATACTGAGAAGAACAAGCAGAATTTAATAGTTTTCTTGTGGTGCCTTGAATAAAATTCAAATAATAGAGTTCAAACATCTGCTTTACGCAGATTTTCTCATATAACTTTTTACAATCCTTTCATACAGTAAATTGTATTATCTAAAACGTACATTACCTTACTTTTATTCATATATTAACTTTTACTAATTAATCTATATCATTTACATAATTTATCTTTTAGAAAGCAATAGTTGATGCTTAAGTTTAATAACAGTTTTAAAGTTTTTGTTTGCAGAGTATTGTTTGCCTCTTTTTTTAAAATTTATAGTCTTTAAAGAGATTTAAACGATTTTTGAATCACAATTGTATCGTTAAATATAATACATCTGAAAACCAGATAAATAATTTGTCAACGAATAATTTATAATTATTATGAAATAGTTACACCAGCTTTAAAGTAACATTTTTGAAGTTTATTATGTAAGGAAGTTCTTCGAGTATAGAAGAAAATTAAAACACGTACTATAACATTCTATTTGATGTTTATGAGATGTATAAGTCCAAATAATAATCTTATGTGGCTACGTCATAAGTTCTTCAATTTTTTTTTTACTTTTTGCTGATTCGTACTCATTTCTTGAATCTGCTTGAAAAACTGTAATATTTGTTAATACATAAATAAAAATGAATTTTAGTTGTTCGAAATGAGAGTATTGAATAAGTTCAATTATAAAATATTAAATTTGGATTACAGTTGTTGCCTATAATCATAAGTCTACATTATCTAAATTTTTTAATAAATTTGTTATAAACGTGATTCTAAAAACAACAACAAAAGAAATGTATATGTTAGTATACTGTTAATAAGTATTCATAATAATTTGTATCATTTTAATTAGATTATAATAAAGAAGAAAATGCAATTGTCGATTCCGTCTGATAAAAGAATATCCGTACAATTACACCACTTACGCTGATTAGAGTTGTGCTGTACAGTCATAATAGTGATCAGAATGCAAATCATTTTTGAAAACTTTTTACTTTACATTATTGCATTGTGGATAGTGATCATTATCAGGTAACTGCTATGATTAAGGTCATATTAAGAAGTAAATGAGCAAAAATATGAGTAAAGCGTTTCCATGAGGTGCTACTAAAAGTTTTACAACTTAGCATGTGTATCATACTTGGGAATAAATTGTTTTACCATAAAACTACACCGCGTACCGTCGATATGAAGGAGAAGTAAATATTTGTAAGTAAACTCCTGTTAGTAATTGCATATAACGTATATATAAATGTATACAATATTGAACAACACGAATATTAATAAGATATATTTGAAAATTGTGGAAGACCAAATGTAGAATAACACTCTGAAACAAAAACAAACATGTAAATCTGTAATCATAAATTATCAAAGAAAAAAAAGAAAATGATCGATTTTGTCGTTATCAGAACAATCCTTGGATACGGATTACCTGTTCAAATTAATTATAGGCAATTTTGAAAATTTAGTGCATCGTATTAACAACTTAACAACTTTGAAATATTGTTCTCTTCAAAGAGTATTCAAAATATGCATATGACATTTAATAGAAATTTAACTATATATCACTAAATTGATTTTATTTTGTAAGATACAATTCGTTAAATGTAACTATTATGTTTAGAGTTAAAAAGAATTCCTTATTTAAAAATCCTGTCAAAAATATATAATTCTGTTATAGGTCTTTTAAGTTCAATTAATATCTAAAATATTTCACTATTATTTTAAAACTTTTAAAAAATTCACATTTTAATTAAAATGCTAAAATTTTATAATTCTTTGTTATTAATGTAACAATGAGAAATACATTTAAAACGTTCTAATTCATTAAGGGTATGCATATATACATACATAAATATATCCGTACATAATATTCAGGAGATTGATAATAAGAAAATGATCTTTTTTTTATTTTATATCAATATCATATTTTAGAGTATTTCGCATTTTATATTTATGCTCAAATAAATTTAGGGGCAGATATACTAAATGTAATGTATAATGAAAAATAGAAGAGAATGCAAAATATTCTGGAAAAAACAAATGTAAACGAAATGTAAAATTCAGAACAATTTGTTCTTATAATTGTACTAATTATTATATATTAATAATTTTTGTATTTTTGTCAAATATTAATCTATTCAATGAATGCCATTACTGCTATTACATACTCATTAAAAAAATAGCTATTAGTGTGTATAAATATGAATATCTAAGAATAAATGTATTGAAAGAACCCTATCATATACATATAATAGTACATATATGTTATGCACAATACTTTTAATTCAATGACCTTTATTATACAATTTTTTAAATTTATAAAAACATAAAAACAATATAAAAGATAGACTATCAAATTATTTAAACGAAAATTAATTAAAACTAAACTCTTGAAAATATTAAAAAAATAACATTAACCAGCAATAACTTATCAATATTCAAAATTAATTAAAAAACTGATACATAGTTCTGACTGTACAAAATTGAAAATATTAATTCAAATTACAATAAAAATTTCAACGTTTAGATGTTCATTCATTTATAACAAAATGAGATAATTTATAGCGAATAATATCAAGTATATTTAAATCATCAATTTGTATATAGAATAAATTATATAAAATTAAATATGCAAGTACATAATATTATATCAATGACTTATTGTACAAATATTGTATGTTCACTTTTTATGAAACTTGACTTTTGAAATACAACAAATAGTTATTAACTGTTTTTTATATTGTAGAAAAATTAAACTTTTATTTACAAATTTGTAAAAATAGTCTTTTTTATTCTGTTTATAAAATAATTTGTATGTATTATGTAATTTTACAAATTTTATACATACATATGTTTATATTGCTAATTAAATACTTTAAGTTATAGATTGTATTACTTATATAAAATAATAAGTATAATGTAGAAAGTATTTATTTAATTATAAGGTACTATTGAATATTTACACAGGCTTTTTTTAAAACATTAAAATGAACATGCAATATTTGTTATTAAACTATTGACACGTATAAGCTTATTGCTAGAATGTAGATATTTATTAATTTATGATATATCAAAGTCTGCAAAACATGTTTAAAGCACATAATAATAAATCTGTATACTTTTTAAATAGCTATATATTCTGCAGACTTTATGTCATAAATATATTAACATTATTTAGTGTTTTTGATTTTTTTCTTTACTCCATATTCTCTCACAACTGATTTGAGTCAGGTAATCTAAATGAAACAATTTTAATTATTAAATTATATTTAAATGAATGACAAATCAGCTAAGTTTATTGTTAAGTTATGTTTACCAAAGTTTTGAGTAAATTTGGTCATATTTAAAGAAGTATAAGATACATTAACTAATACTGTTACTTTTAATTATACATATATACTTCTTTTGCCTATTCACTAATATTCAAATGCCTATTCACTAAATTTTCAAATATTCAACTTTCGCACTTTCAGTTATTACCATCCGACATTACTTGAATTTTGTTGAATTTGAATAAAAAATCAAGCACTTAATCAAGTTAATATATCCTTAGCTTTCACTACCTTCAATTCATAAAAAAGATCCAGCACAGTGTCCCGCCTTTTTTTGGGTCGGGAGAGGTTCAATAATAGGTGGAAAAGTAACGCTTCCCCTCCCATTATAAAATGACACATTAGCGACATTAGTGTCAAATACGTAGAAATATATTTGTATGTAAAATATGTGCTTGAAATAATTGTGAAAAAGTACAATAAAATCTATCATAATGTTACGTGGAATAAATTAGAAGCTAATGCAAATGAGATCTGTATTATAATAAGGGCTCTGTTATTGATATGCACAAACCTGACAAATTCAGAATCGTCTAAATACTGACCAACGCCCAATTTAAAATAAAATTTTGTAAAATTTATCACAATGGAGAAGAGTACGATCATCAGTATTGTGTGTTTATTATTATTTACAGTAACAGGTACGGCATAGACTTGAATACAAGTATTTATACGAATCAAATAAAACTTACTTATCAAAGCCCATATAAACAAACTATTTTAAAAACAATGGATTTACAAAATTTGCTATAAAAATGTTTTTTCTTTCACAAATCTTATAACAAATATATTTGTATTGTACAATAAAACCAAGTTATAATTATAATACCAAATGCTAACAGATATGTCAGCAATATTATAGGTTACACCCAGTTTTAGCTTATTGAAAAGTGTTCCTTTTGACCAAAGTTTTCAATTGATTTAAATAAATTTTAGGTATCAATGCACTTCGCTGTTACCAATGTAGTAGTGACACTGATCCAAAAGGTGAAGATTTATGTGGAGCATACAAGAAATTTGATAAAGAGAAAAATATTGCTATCGAATGTAACAGTGAGGAATCTTACATGCCTGGCACATTCTGTGTCAAAATAACCCATCAAAGTCCTCGTGGTTTCATATGTAAGTTCTGTTTCTTCTTTTAATATTTAAATTGTTAATTTAAATGATGGAATTTGATTAATTTATTATTTGTAAACATTTTAAAAGGGGATGGTAGATGGCGACAAGTAATTCGTCGATGCTCTTCGGTATCCAGTACTGGAGTCACGGGTGTTTGTAATTGGGGAGTATACGAAAATGGAGTTTATTGGGAAGAATGTTCCTGTGGTGAAGATTCATGTAATGATGCATCAACATTATCACCATTCTCAATAATGAGACTATTGTTGCCAATTGGTATTTCTATGTATATGTATCCTTTAACATGAATATAAAAATGCATTTAATAAAAATGCATTGTTATATTGCATAGGAGAACGATTCCGTCCATAATACAATGCAGTTCATTAAGAGCTATTGTTTATCATAAGAGAATTTTGAATACAAGTTTCAAAGATTATATTTTTTAAAATTTCTTATTTCTTTTTAATATTTTTTTACTTCAGGAAGTATATCTATGTATATACATACAAATAAGTACATATTATAAATTTTATAATATTTGACAGAATCAAAACAACTAACAATACTTGCTTTTTTGTTAGATATTAAATATTATGGATTAAATAAACTGTCTAAATAATACTACTTTTTTAGTAATTTTAAAGACATATACTTAAATCAATGGTATATATTTTTATAATTTTTAGGAAATTGCTTAGAAAATTAGTTATCTGATCACTAATCAAAATGATTAAATGATTAAATGATTAATACATTACATGTGTTACTTTATAAAATTGGAATTGAAATTATTTTTAGTTCATTACATTTTTATAAATATTATAGATCAACACTATTGTGTTAATACAATAATAAATATCATATTTTTGTACTTTCATATAAATGCACTAATATATAAAATTCTATACATTTACATTCTCAATATATACGTGTTCATTTGAAATAAGTATTATTTACATTTTACATTTACAGTAGTTGCAGTGTGATATCTTTTTGTCAGCAACATTTCCATGAGTTATCATTTTTCATAGTTGAGCTTTTATACTTTTGCACTTTTTTGAACAATAAGTTTTGTCATTGTTTCCTCTTTTTATTGAAGGAATAATATACATAAAAATTATGTCTCATCGAAACTACATATTAGAATTTTGAGAATAAGTAAATATATGTATAATACCTGTGGTTCCAAATAACAACTTAAATTATAAGTTATTTGTAACTGAAGATTTTTTCTCTCTAAATACATCTGTAGAATTAACATATACTTACAATTTAATTACATAGTATTCTTTTCAAGCCTTTTCATTATAAAGAGCAGCTGTAATTATTTCATAATTTTTTATGTATATTTATATAATATAATATTTGAACTATATTGTAGAATGTATAATTTGAAAGTCCCTTCATAAATGAGAGTTTATTCATAAATGGGAACATAATCATATTCTAACACAGAAACATGTCCGTGAGTTACGCTGAGACGTTGTACGCATACTCGGAAACAAGGCAGAAAAATATTATATGTGTACTCTTACACAGATAGTACAGTAAAACCCTTCTTAAGAAAAAACATCTTTTAATTAATACAACAGATTATAATAAAAGAATTAGGAAATTGCTTAGAAAATTAGTTATCTGATCACTAATCAAAATGATTAAATGATTAAATGATTAATACATTACATGTGTTACTTTATAAAATTGGAATTGAAATTATTTTTAGTTCATTACATTTTTATAAATATTATAGATCAACACTATTGTGTTAATACAATAATAAATATCATATTTTTGTACTTTCATATAAATGCACTAATATATAAAATTCTATACATTTACATTCTCAATATATACGTGTTCATTTGAAATAAGTATTATTTACATTTTACATTTACAGTAGTTGCAGTGTGATATCTTTTTGTCAGCAACATTTCCATGAGTTATCATTTTTCATAGTTGAGCTTTTATACTTTTGCACTTTTTTGAACAATAAGTTTTGTCATTGTTTCCTCTTTTTATTGAAGGAATAATATACATAAAAATTATGTCTCATCGAAACTACATATTAGAATTTTGAGAATAAGTAAATATATGTATAATACCTGTGGTTCCAAATAACAACTTAAATTATAAGTTATTTGTAACTGAAGATTTTTTCTCTCTAAATACATCTGTAGAATTAACATATACTTACAATTTAATTACATAGTATTCTTTTCAAGCCTTTTCATTATAAAGAGCAGCTGTAATTATTTCATAATTTTTTATGTATATTTATATAATATAATATTTGAACTATATTGTAGAATGTATAATTTGAAAGTCCCTTCATAAATGAGAGTTTATTCATAAATGGGAACATAATCATATTCTAACACAGAAACATGTCCGTGAGTTACGCTGAGACGTTGTACGCATACTCGGAAACAAGGCAGAAAAATATTATATGTGTACTCTTACACAGATAGTACAGTAAAACCCTTCTTAAGAAAAAACATCTTTTAATTAATACAACAGATTATAATAAAAGAAGAGCGACGTTCTTCTTTTTCGCGCCGCGTTCCTTATAAACTAGTCTTACCAACTACTATTTACAACTTAACCTAAGAAATAAAAAGTAACTAAAAATAGGAACTGTTCCAGAGGGCGTGTGTGTCGCTGTCGATACAGTCGCCACAATTTGTGGCGGTTTTTTTAAAAGATTGCTTTGTTTTTTTTTCTTGAGTATTTATATGCGTACCATTTTCAATAATTCCTGTACTCTATGGTGATCATCAGAGTCATCGGTCAAGATGAGTTCTGTTGTCAAAGTCGTCGACCAAGAAGAATATTTGTAGTTGTGAACAAATGATTAATGTTTACAAAAATCTTCAAATACTATAAAACAAAACGCATAATGTGACAAATTCGCATGGAAGCAAATGCTTTGTATATTGTTTGACAGGCAACAATATTCATAATAGGAAAGTCAGAGTACTCTCTTGAAATTTTAAAAAATTCCTATGAACTGAAACTTCGGGTGAGTCTAGATGAATCTTCTTTTAGAAATGACGTGCAAAATCACTAACAAGTGATTTTAGTCAGGTTTGACTTGAATTTCCAACCTAAATGAAATAAACATAATCAAATGTAATGTTTTTAAACATAATGCATGAAAACATCATTATATTGATGTATCAGAACAACATAATAAATAAGTACGAATGAATTAATATCAATTTTTGAAAGAAGTATTGTCTTAAGTATTAATAAATGTGTAAAAAAGGATGGTGTATATAAATAATGTATTTTTTACATAAAAGCGTAAATAAAGGAATAAAAATGCAAATATAAATTGAGGATAAAAATATTTTGTAAACGTTATTTTCTTATGAATATTCATAACTTTTTTATAAAATCATGAAAGTTTTTTGATGAATTAAATGTCAGCGCATTCGTAACTTTGATGCAGCTTAAAAAATGTTAGTTTTTAATAAGTTTGTTAGTATTCAATGCTGTGAGTCTGATAAATAATATACAATGGTTAGTATGTGGCATCAACAAGTATTTGCACTCGATGCAAAGTACAATGCACAACGTGTAAATAAACTGCCTACTTTAGGTTTGTATATGATTTACAATTTAATACATCATACTTAATTTAAATTTAAAAATGATATAATTATAGGAATGCTCTATATTCGTCGTAGAAATCAGTTATTAAAAGAAAAATTTAGTAAAGATCCAACGATTCGAGAAAATTACTTAAAACTAAGATCAAAATTATTATTTCTACGATATGGTGAAAACTTGGAGCAAAATAGTCTGAGCAGTCATACAACAGAGGAAGAAAAATCAGAGATTAAAATAAAATTGCACAATATACAGCGAAAATCAATAGCAGAAAGTTTTGCTTTTGATGGAGTACATCATGTTTTTGATCAACATAATGCACCTGTTACAATGCTTAAATTTGCCAATAATGATAGATCTAAATTATGTTGTGCATCATTGGATGGATTACTATCAATATGTGATACTATCAGTACACCTCCAAAAGTTATAGCTTTATTAGAAGGCCACAAGAAAGGTGTCACAGCATTAGACTGGAGTATTAGTAATGATCTTATAGTTTCATCTTCTTTGGATTGTACAATAAGACTCTGGAATGTTGTAAACACAGAAATTGGTCCAAATTGTTTACGAACAGTTAATGATCAACAACGAGCAGAAGTTCTGTGCTGTGGATTTATACCTGTAAATAATAATTTAGTTGTTGCTGGTAACTCCCAAGGACTAGTACAGATTTTAAATATATCCACTGGTATATACACTCGTGGTGGTTCTTGTAAAATTGGAGGCAAAGTTAGTTTTTTCAATTCTTAGTGATATACATGTTTAAATGATTTTCAAAATTACTATCATTTTTATCATGATTTTAGAAGCTTCGTAATTTCAAACAATTTCTTAATTTTTCCACACACTAGATTAAAATAATTAAAGAATCAATATTAAAAATAGTATTAATTATTCTTATAAAAATGTTTCACAAATGTATGATAATGATTAATATACTTTAGTTTACAAAAAGAAATTATAACTTGGAAAGGAAACATTTTCAATCAAAGTTAACTTTAAAAAATATATGTAATTAAAAAAGTGAGATATTTAAATATTTTCTTGTTTTAGATTTTGTCATTGGCTTGTGAAGGTAGTGGTGGTTTAGTGATATGGGCTGGAAATGATAGAGGAATTATTATGTCATTTCAATTAGAACCAGGAATGGGACGATTAACAAAGTTACGAAGAGTACAAGAAATTGGTGGTATGATAACTAGTCTTTCTTGGCGTTCGTGGTTGTCAAAAGATAATCCATGGCCAGCACTTTTAGTGAGCAGTGCTTGTAATACAGTACTACTCTATCATATTATTGACAATCAAGGTTCCTTATCTCTTTGGACGAAATATCCAATAAAACATAAGTAATATCTTATTGGATTGCTGTTATAAACATATTTATGAAATAATTTATAAGTAAAATATATTCTTTTTGTCATTTACAGACAACATTTTGTGAGATCTACTTTTTGTCCACAAATGGAAACGTGTTTAATAGCTACAGGTTCTGAAGATGGTACAATACATTTATTAGATTCTGCAAGAGAAGGCAAAGCAGCAAAAATTAATAGACTTCAAGGTCATGCAACATCAACGCTTGCTTTGTCTTTTAATTATGACGAATCCCTTCTTGCATCTGCAGATTATCAAGGCCTTATTATTTTATGGCGTAATCGACAACGTCATATATAATATTTTAACACTAAACCTAAATTGATATAGGAGATAATTATATAAAAACAATTCTTGTACGTTAAAATTATTTCTAATAACATTTTAAATATCCTGTATTTAAATTCTGCTTTGTAGATTTTTAATAAATTAATTATTTTATCAAATCTTACACTGATTTTTATTATTGTCCGCTGAAATAAGTAAACTTGAAAAAGTTAAAGTCTAAAAAAATTGTTTCATATCAGCATATAAAGTTTATAATATGTAGTAATGGTATAGGAAATAATAAGGAAACATTCTGCACAAATCGGCATCTGTTTTATATAACAATATATTAATTGTTCTCTATTAATATTCTATGTGTTATAATGAGCATAAAGTTAGCATTATTAATAATAGTAATCATGATAACAGTAATAATAATAATAATGGTAGTAAAATCGTATAATAATTGCAATGCTATTCATAATAGTCGTAGGATACATATTTTTAATTTTGCACATGTAATGAAATTATGTATCGGTACAAGTATTAAATATGTTATTATTAATTTGTTGTCTTTTATTAGTCTAATCTATTCCGATGTTATTCTATGAGTTAGTTTTATCGTGGTAATATTGAAAACACTGAAAGATATTTTTTGTAAAAATTGTGTAATATTAATCATAATAATTAACTTATCATTGGTATTTGTTGTTCTAATATTCAAATAAATACTTACATATTGTGAGTTCAATATTTAATACCACATTCATAATAAACATTTTTTTTCTGCGCATTTGCATTTCATTTAAAGTTTATTAAATTTTGTTCTTTAATAAAATTACCTAACCATTAAAAATTACTGAAAAATCTATATTACGCGCTAAAAAAAATATTTAAAAATAATATGCAGTAAAGTACAGTAGCGTTTCTTATGCTACTTTATTTGGAATTTTATTATCTCGATTTACCAATTAACAGAAATAAAAGTGCACAAATTGTGCCCATCATCACAGTTCTAGTAAGAATAACAAATAATACATTTATAAAATCATCCGTGTATAAGTTATTATACACTGCTTTTAAACTAAAAGTTGAGATAGTTTTTTGATACTACATAATACTTTTAGAGTAGAGAGCTGTTTTCTACTAATACAATTTCAATATAATGTAAAAAAAATATCGTATTTAAAGGTAACAATAATCGAAAAATTAGTATGAATAATTAGCATACGTTGTTGATCAAATAATTACATTAACTTATGCGAATGATACTCCTCTGACCGTAATTGAACGATGTTTGATAATTATTTACATGTGAAATGAAATTACTCGATAGTTTTAATGTAGCCTTTGCAAATCGATTGTCTGCTATCTGAGTCAATTAACAATTAATATTTATATTTTTTTTATCACTTGAAGCTAATTGTATAAAAAATTACGTCACTATCAGCTCTATGTATATGAATGCATTTCTATATAACAAATCAAAATTATACAGTTTAATATAATGCTATAGACAATCGATCAAATCTTAGCCACAATAAAAATTTGCTACATCTTATGTACAATAATTAGAGATTCATTTAATAATGATCTCAGTGAATAGAGTAATTACTATACTTTTGCAACGAAATTATTTCGGACGGACTTCAGCTAAATTATTTCTTAAAATTTTACTATCGACTTCAAAATGTGTTAGTCGTGAGTCAAAACACTGTACTTGTAGGCTCGATTTTTTCTTGACTATCACACTCGGCACTTTTTGCGGAAATCGGATCAAAACCTTTTTCTTCTTGAAGATCATCAGGAGGCACCATTGGTAAAATATTATGATTTAAGGAGTTTGACAAAATGTGTTGGTCATGTGTGGAGTTTATAGTTTGCGACGAGTCTGATTCCTTTTCTTTATCGCCTAATCGTTCCATATCATCTTCCTTTAATTGTTTTATGGAAACAAAAGGTGCGCCATTTGTAGATAAATTTAATTTTAAACGGTTTCTAGTATGTCTTAATTCTCCTAATTGATGTTGTTGACTATAATTACAATCGTTTAATAATTCTAATTTATTTTCTTGTACTTCTAGTCGATTACCGTCTACTTCATCTTGTTCTTCGTTCATTGATGTAGAAGCACCAGGAAAGAATTGACTTACATATTTACTGTCACTAGCTTGAAACTGAAATGGACGATTTGAACTGCTCACAAAAAATTCTTCATTTCCTACAATCAAAATTGTACAATAATATAAATAAAATTTATTTTAACAAATAAACATTACATTTAAATATTTAAATCTAATCAAAATAGAAGATTAGAACGTACCAGTCTGATTAACATCGTCATAGTCTAAAGGATATAGATCTAAGCGTGGTTCATCTATCATTTCTTCCCAATCTAAAACCGGTAAAAAAATTAAAATAGCTGTTTAATTTTTAAATACATTTTTCTCAAATAAATATTATTAGTTAAATAATATATCATAATTATATAAAATAGTTCAATTATACCGCTGTAGGAAGTTGGCTCCCATGTAGTAGTTGACTCTCCTTGAGCCTCTGTAGTTAATGTTTCTTTCGGATATTCATACACACAATGATATCGTTGTTTTTTGAACCATACACTTTTCTTCTGATCCTGAAGAAATCATACATTATCAATTTAATACAAATTTTTGAATATTTTAGTAAATAAATAAAGAAAAAAAACTGTATTCACACACGTTTCATAAATTAGACAATTCTACACATCTGAGATAAATAAAAATGTATAAAATGTTTAACACGTGGATCTATAATACACCTACCAATTCCTCCTAGCAGCAAGAATGAAGAGAAAAAAGTAAATATATTTATATTGAAAAAAATGTGAAAATATTAAACTATTATTGAGCTTACATTAGATTTTAACGTTTTATCAGGAGATCTTAATGCTGAACGATGAGGGGCTAACGTTGCATTCCAAGCAGATGGTGTAAATTCTTCTTCTTCTTCCTCTTCCTCTTCGCCATCTGCTTCTTCCTCGTTTTCTTCTTTTTCCTCTTCTTCATCTATCTCATCGTCAATATCATTTACTACTGCTTCTTCATTATCACTTAAATTCTTTCCAATTTGACTTTGTTCAATATGTGGCTCATTGTACCGCTAAATAATAATGTAAAAAATTATATATAAAAATACATTTATAATTAATATGTCTAGTATTTTATTTATATAATATATACCTTCCAAACAAATTCTCCGGAGCTAGAACTATTATCCTCGCCTTCTTCCTCTTCTTCATCTTCATCCTGACTACCCCACTCATGCTCTGTTCCAAAACTTGTCGACATTAGATTATCCTCTAATGGTAAAGGCAGTGGTAATGGGAAAGACGGAGGTAGCTGTTGCCATTTAGATTCTTCTTCAGGACTTGGTAAAGGTGCTCCTCCACTAGCAATCATGATATGCGATTTATCATCACGAGAACGAACTATTGAACAATTATAATCCAAATTTTCTTCTTCAGAAAGATCCTCATTAGTTGTATCTCTTTCGTCATCCTGTAATTTCTCTTCCAATCCCTCAAATAAAATCATTTTATTGGTTCGCGTATCGATTAATAATATATCGTCTGACCCAATGGATTCTTTTGAAGCAATTGATACATCTCTAGAATTCGATATCAATGATTCTGAAGTAAGAGTGCTTTCGCGTTCCTCTTGTATTGGACTAAGTGGAGTACCATACACATTATACCTGCATTTAATAAAAAAGGATTTCTTAATTTAATTTCTTAAATAACTGATTTCTTAAGTAACTGTTTAATACTGATCAATGCCACATTATAAAAGTTATTGTTAGGAATTAAAAGGTACCTTATTGAAATACCCACTCCTCCACTGCCTTGATTAGAAGAATCTTCATTATCATCGTCATCCCATTTATTGCTTATATCATTAGATATAGGATTATCATCATCATGTGTTTCTAAAGGCTCCACAACTGACATTTGAGCACAGGGCAATTTCTCTCTAAGCTCATTTCGAATTGCTGTTACAAATTCTTCTTCTATATCAAATGATACATAAGAATTATCGCTTCGTAAACTCATCGTAGAACTATCTTCGTCTTCAACTTCATTCTCATGTACGTTTTCTTTTTTATTTTCATTTCCATTCTCATTCTCATTCTCATTCTCATTCTCATTTTCATTTTCATTTTCATTTTCAATTTCATTCTCATTTTCATTTTCATTTTCATTTTCAATTTCATTCTCATTTTCATTTTCATTTTCATTTTCATTTTCATTTTCATTTTCATTTTCATTTTCATTTTCATTTTCATTTTCATTTTCATTTTCATTTTCATTTTCATTTTCATTTTCATTTTCATTTTCATTTTCATTTTCATTTTCATTTTCATTTTCATTTTCATTTTCATTTTCATTTTCATTTTCATTTTCATTTTCATTTTCATTTTCATTTTCATTTTCATTTTCATTTTCATTTTCATTTTCATTTTCATTTTCATTTTCATTTTCATTTTCATTTTCATTTTCATTTTCATTTTCATTTTCATTTTCATTTTCATTTTCATTTTCATTTTCATTTTCATTTTCATTTTCATTTTCAATTTCATTCTCATTTTCATTTTCATTTTCATTTTCATTTTCATTTTCATTTTTGTTTTTGTTTTCATTTCGATTTTCATGTTCACTTTCATGTTCGTCTTCATTTTTATGTTCATTTGATAAAGGTCGTTCTAATTCTTGATTGGAGTAGTTTATCCTTACAGGTGAATTATTTTGTATTTGTTGAAAAACAGACTTAGAATTATTTGGTTCTATTAATTCAGTTTTTTCTTCGTTTTTATTGATTTCTTCTAAATTGACATTAGTAGAACTTTCATTATTTTCTCTTTCAGATTCATCTATATGTATAGGAAGTAGTTTGTTTTCTGTATGATTAATTGAAGGTAAGTTTTCTGTGGTTTTTTCAGACGTATGTAGCGTTGAATAATACTCAGCATCAAGAATAGTATCAAGCTCAAATAAAATCTGTAACTGTTCTTCTTCTGTACATGTTGGTACATTTACTACAGAATCTGCTGAAGTGGAAGGAACCGAAGTGCAAACATTCTCTTCTTCTTCACAAGATTCTTTATCTCTAAATCCAGAATCAGAACTTTGCTCGTCATCAGGAGTAGATAATTGTTTCCTTTCTTCTTCAGCTTCATTTGGTAAACATTTTCGTTCTATGTCCGTGTCATCTCCGTTGGAGAATTCATCATTTACATTATATCCAGAACATTTTGTAAACTGTGGTGTATCTGGTGTAGATGCAGCAGTTACCATCAGATCCATACTATTATTTTGTTTTTTAGATGAAGATTCTGCATATTCAGTAAATTCGCCTTCATCCAAGAAACCAGGTACTTTCTTTTCCAAAGCAGAATCCAATGCGTGATTCCAAAGTACTACATCAACTAAGTTATTTTCATCGGTTTCAAAATTAATCGAAAAATTATTAGAAAAACAAGTATTATTATTATTATTTTCATGTTTAGATACATCATGACACTGGGACTCATTATTTTGTTTCAATTCTTCAAATGATCTATCATCAGGTACATAACGAAGAAGAGGAAGATTAGGTTCTCCTTTTGATAGAAGTCTTAATACATGTTTCTCATTACGTGTTTCTGTATTTATATTTGCAACCGGTGTAGTATCAATGTTTGTGGTAGATTCTTTATCATCTAACGATAATCTTAAAATTGGCGTCTGACCTTGATCCATAGTTAATGTTAATAATTTTGGCCTTTCTGAATTGTCTAATGTCTTAATTTTATCAGTATTATTTGGAAAAGGATCTCGTAATTTTCTTAATGCTTCGTCAAATTCATCAGTATGGCTACTATGTCTGAGATCACTATCACTACCTGTAGCAGGTAATTTTTTCTTCCCATATTTTTCTGATATTTGAGTTCCCATTGATAATTCAGTGTCAGAATCGAAATCGATATGTACAAGTACCATTAAATCAGTGACAGATTTGGATTTCTGTTTTACTTTTTCCGAATAAACTCCTTGCTCAATTCGACCTTTCCAACTTTCTTCTTCAGTTTCAGAACTGGATTCATGCTGAACAATATTTTTAACATTCGGAACATTTTTTACTAATTCACCTGGTCCAAGACGAAATGATGATTGTCGTGGTGTGTCATCGACGATTGTAGTCCAGTAATCTGAATCGATACTTCCTCGAAGATCCTGTAAGCTAGCACTTCGGACGTGTTTAGTTGCATTAATTCGTAAACTTTCCCATCTTTGTTCAAAGTCCAGATATTCTGTATGTTCATTTAGAAGAAATTGCCTCACCTCATCCAAATTCGGTCTTTTCTGTGGATTTAAATTCAAACATAAATGAATTGCTTGATATATGTTTGATGGACAGTTGTCTAGGTAGGTTTGCAACACTTGTATACCATTTGATAAAAGATCAGTTCTTAAAGATAACAGCATCTGAATTACTTGTTCATCACTCTTATTATGATATGGCCTGTTTCCCCATGTAGCGATTTCCCAAAGAAAAATTGCATAACTCCACATATTTGCTTGAAATGTAATTTCCCTTGTTTCAATAGTAGTATCAGTACATTCTACACTTTCTGGTGCTGACCATCTGATAGGTAATGCACGATCTCCAACCACATAATAATCTTCTGGATATTTTTCTACACCAGTTCCATAATCTCCTAACTTTGCTGATAAATCTGATGCTACTAAACAATTTCTGGCAGATAAATCTGTATGTACAAATCCATGACTGTGCATGTGTTTCAAGCCAGCAACAATATCTAGTGCTATTCGAATTGGAATATTTTCTTTAATAAGTGCTTCTTGAGATTTTTTATCACGGTTTGATAACAAGAATCCTTTCACGTCACCTGCTGGACACGATTCAAATAATAGTAGGTATGGATCAGTTTCTAAACAGAAACCCAGTAGGGTTAAAATATTTTGATGATGTAGTTTTAAATATGGTGTAGCTTCGCCAAGAAACCAAGCTTTTTCTTTTGTAGTAGCTTCTTCTGTAAGAATTCTGACAACAACACCGCCATTTTTAGAAGCTCTTTTATGTCCTTCCAAATCTGCACGACCTTCAACAACTTTTCCAAACCAACCATGTCCAATTTCTCTCAAATACTTTAATTTTTCTCTAGGTACACTTAATTCTTGCGTGTTAAACCATTCATGACAATGTTCCGGGAGAGCGTTAGAGTGAGAATCATGTTTTTCAAAAAAAGATGTTGATAATGGTAATGGTTTAGGTTTTGAAGAATTCTTAGAGCCAGATATAATATGCTCTACGGGTAATGGTTCAAACTGTACTCTGTCTGCAACAGCCAACATTCTTGGAACATCTAACTCTAAACCATCAACAGAGTTCTCAAATACTGACTCTTGTCCAATATTGTTTCCATCTTTGAATTCCTGAAAATGAAAACATGATTATATTTTCCAATCTTTCTTCTACAAAATCAAGAAAAATAAATATTCTAACATATACAAGATAAAACTGCCATACATTGTATCATTATAAGTTAATTATCAATTATTTCTATCACTTACAAATAATAGACATGCAATTATTTGAAAACATTCAAGGAAAGAATAAAATTTCTATTACTTTAACTATTTCTATTATAATGATTATAATTAATAATAACTACTTAAGAACAATAAATAACTACGAATACATAACTTTTCTAATATTCATAATTAAAAAATTTTTATAATAATCATTCAATAATTGCATCACTAAAAATTATAATGTCTGAATTCCTGCTTCCAAAATACTTTGAATTATATTTCTACTATATCTTGAACGTTAATGATAAACTTAATAATAAAGCTATCTAATTTTTTAACAATTCTTTTTCATGTGTTTTAACTCAGACACTTATAGCATTACAGTTACCTGGTTGCATTTTTCTGCTTTGTCCTATAATTAGAAATGTATAAATCATTGTTAAGATATTAAACATACGCAGTAATAATTTTTGTACGCAATGTTACATCTGATAATAAATTACCTGAAATCCTTTAGGTCGTCTAGGTCTTCGACAACACAGACATCCAACTAAAGTAAATGCTGTCGCAGTTATGCTTAAGAGACCAAGTGTATATTGTATCCAGTATCGTTCCCATTTTGATGATGTATAGATGTGTGACAAATCTATTACAAGTAAAATAACCTCTCATTCGTGACATGTTAGCTAAATAAATATAAAAATACACAATTAACATACCTGTTTTTATCGAAGATGATACAGGATAGGCTGTAAGAGTCGGTAGACCCGCCCAAAACAGCCAACATATCCAGCATAATATAATATCCAGCATTGCGCATTGAAACTTTTCAATGATGATCGTGATCTATTTAAGTCATTCTTAAAAATTTATGAGTTCTTAAACCATTGCATGATTAATAAAAAGAGAAAGATCTATTAAATCGTAACACGTTCTAATTTTACGACACACGAATCACCGTTTTTCGTAATCTCATGTTTCTGATATCTACGATATATTGGAAACTAGCTTCGATTGTAGGAAATGCTGTTTAATGACTTTGTCACAGCAACGATGAAATGTTGTAACAGTATGTAAAACAGAAATTCACTTTTTTTAGGGAAACCACCTGGGCCAAGCATGATACGTATCGTGAAACGAATACAATACAATCGGCCACGGTCCGGTTAGAAGGTAGGTGTAAAATCACCACGCTTGCCAAACCCAGTTCTATTCTTGCGCCTCTATTCTCTCTGTTGCTCTCTTTCTACTTTCAATACAGTATTATACAAATATATGTATAATTTGACTAGGGATTGCTTCAAGCAGTGACATTTTAATTAACACTACAACATTTATACACACAACAATGTAATTTAATAAAAAAACAAACAACTTTTACCGTGTTATTACAGTTGTGACAACTAATGTAAAAAATTAACAGACAACTAGTTTATTATAATACTAATTACATGTATATGAAATAATTTTTTTATCAAACTAATGATTTTACAAAAGCGTAAACATGTAAAATAAGCAATAGGTATGTATTAATTCCAATTTGAATAAAGAATTCTGTTAAATTTAATGATTATAAATCAATTATTTAAAAAAATAATAAAATATTTTATACGATATATTACATACGTATTAATGGATATAAATGGATATAAATCGATATAAATGGAAGAATTGTGAAAAAAAAGCTTTAAATAAAATCTTTGATTTTTAAACTACTTTTATAAGAGCATATTAATTTAATTGAATTTCAAACAAAAATAATATGGAACGAAACAAATATAATATACTGATACTACAATATTTAATTAATGTTTCATGATTTTTTATATAATAATAAATATACAAATTAAAAAATATTATGTTTGCATTTACAATTTTAAACATTTGTTATTAATATACAATTTTATGTAATAATAAAATTCATTATTAGTAATTCAAACAGTATAGTAGATTAGTAATTTTATAATTTACAGATTTATGCAAAAAAATTGTAATTAATGTTATAACATTAATATTATTATAATATATAATATAAGATTATAACAGTAATACACTTTTTAATTATTTCATAATTTAATTTGTTATGATAGATAAATATAATAAATATCATTATAAACTTATATTTACAATATATAATATACACAAAAACACATTTGTATATATATGCATTAAATATTGTAATGTTAGAATCACTACTTGAAGAATGAAGTAATCGAAGTGCCTTGATATAAGGTCCCATGGTGTAATGGTTAGCACTCTGGACTTTGAATCCAGCGATCCGAGTTCAAATCTCGGTGGGACCTGTACAAGATAATTTTCTTGTTTTTGGTTAACATTTTTTTAGTAATAAAAATAGGTAATTAAAACTTATTGACATAACAATAAAAGGACAGCATCTTTTTTAAAAAAAATTTAATTTATTAATAGGCCTTAAATTGTACAATATTTAAATAATATATTTATTGTAAATTACCTTCATAAATAAATAATTTTATATATGTATTATATTGCAATGTTCAATACTTATTTATAATAACAACATTATTTATCAGCAATTGAATTTATTTATTATTATAAAACACAAATAGTTATAACAATTTAGAGGGCAGCACTGTTGATTGCACCATCTGACTTCCTCCAATTTCGACAGCTATGTATTTAGTCACTGTTAATCAGATGATTCTTAACCTTTTGTTGTGAAACTTATTTACAAAGAAATATAATTCTTTCTATGAATTATACATGTATTTATTAAAATTAATAAAAATTGGAAGAGATATCATGTTATGAATATTGGATATTGCATACAAAGCATATATATCATTAATAAAATATATTTTGAAACAAAGAAATGTTTCTAATTTTTTAATATAAAAATAAATATAAATTATAAAATTTTAATAATAAAATCATTTTAAGAAGTGTGCAATCATGACCGAAGCATGTGATTCTATAGTGGTAGTTAAAGCGAAACCAGTGCGTAAAGTATTTAAAGCTCCATTTAAAGTAAACAAAGTTCCTGAAGAGATTTTAAATGATCAGTTATTAAATTCAGCTATTGCTGTATTACCAGCTAATTACAATTTTGAAATACATAAATCAGTATGGAGAATTAAAGAAGCAAAAGCCAAAAGAGTTGCGTTACAAATGCCTGAAGGACTTTTAATGTATGCTACAACTATAGCTGATATAATAGAAGAATTTACAGGTGCAGAAACTGTTATAATGGGGGATGTTACTTATGGTAAGAAATTATAATATTTTTAATTGAAAAACAATTTTTTTATATATTTAATTTTTAGTTAAATTAATAAAATTATATATAAAATGCAGGTGCATGTTGTATAGATGATTATACTGCAAAGGCATTAGATGCAGATTTTTTAATTCACTATGGACATTCCTGTTTAATACCAATTGATCAAACAGTTGGTATTAAAGTACTTTATGTATTTGTCAATATAAAAATTGATCCTTTACATTGTATTGAGTGTTTACAAGCTACATTGCCAATTACAACTAAAATAGCGCTTGTAAGTACCATACAATTTGTAGGCACATTACAAGCAATTGCGTTAGAAATGAGAAAAAATGGTTATGAAATATCTATACCACAAAGCAAACCATTAAGTCCTGGTGAGGTATGTATACTTAAGATATTGAAAAAGTTAATTATATTTATGAAATGCATATAATTATTAAATTACATATTTCAAGATTTATATTTATATAAAGATTTTAGGCTGCACAGCACCACAAATTCGATGTGTTGATGCACTTGTTTATGTAGGAGATGGACGATTTCATTTGGAGGCAGCAATGATTGCTAACCCAAAATTACAAGCATTTCGATATGATCCTTATGAAAAGAAATTAACACAAGAATTTTATAATCATGAAGAAATGCTAAAAACTAGATTAATGACAATTGAGCATGCAAAAGAAACTGGCAGATTTGGATTAATACTTGGAACTTTAGGTAGACAAGGAAATATCAATGTTCTTAAAAATTTAGAAAACAAAATTAAATTAATAGGAAAAGAATATGTGATTATATTGCTCTCAGAAATATTTCCAGATAAAATTAAACTATTTAAGGGTGTCCATGCTTTTATACAGGTAATAATACTATATGTATATACACATATATGTAAAATGTATATTTTGCAATCATATTGTGCATCATAAAATCGGTTTCATGTTACAGGTTGCGTGTCCACGATTAAGTATAGATTGGGGTACCGCTTTTGAAAAGCCATTTCTTACACCTTATGAAGGAGCTGTTGCTCTAAAAATGGTAAATCATAACATTGATAAACCATATCCCATGGATTTCTATGCTTCTATTAGTCTTGGGCCATGGACTCCTAATTATAAGGAATGTGACTTAGAAAAACAAGTTGATACCTGTTGTGGTAAATGTAAAGATAAAACATAAATAATAAAAATTATTTTAATATTATCAAAATAATTTTTTATTCAAATATTCCTAAACTTTTTACTATTTTTTTTATTTTATTTTCAAAACTATCATATTATCATTGCAATTTTATAAAAAACATCAGATTATACATATGTATATGTAAATGTATTTATTTATTGATAAATTTTTAACTTTCCTTTCACGATCTTTAGGATTTCTTTTTGCATATAAATTTTTTACACATTCAATAATAAGAATAGTAATTATTCAGTAATTTATATATATTTTTAAATATAATTGTTTGTTATATACCATACGTTTACAATAACAAACATGGTATATTGAAATATATGCTACTTTAATCGGCGATAGGGTGATTATACATACAAGGGCCCGCGTGGGCGAATTACGTCATACGCCCACCTGTAGCCGCGCACACGTACAAAGCTTTATATGTATCGCACAGTGGATATATATTAAAATGATGATTGCTACGAATCGTTAAAATTTGTTTACGTTAGAATTTGCATATTAATAAACACATTTAATATACTTAAAATATATTTTACTTATATTGCTTTCAATTTGAATTTTCAAGTTTCTAAATATATTATGAATAATAAATTATAATTTTTTAAGACATTACTGTACTAATTTAACAATATCGTTTTGACAAACAAATTTTAATGTAATTTTTTAAAATATATATTAGAAATCAGTTATTCAATACACGAAATAAAATTAAAAACCAAATGGTATGAAAATGTTATTAAGAAAAGGTCACGGGGTAGATTACATAGTTCCCGGGGGTAGAAGGTTGTTTCGGCCGCACCCCGGCATCGCGACGTCAGTCGTTGTTCCAACGTGGCTCAACAAGTACACGCGGTAGCGTGCAGATAGTTCAAATATTTAAAAATGTTTTGCATAATATAAGTTAACTAATAATTTATTTTATTTACAAGTATATCAAAGAAATGCACAACTAAAAATTATTATTTCAGAAATATCAATATAAACTTAAATATATTGTTACTGTTATATATTATTTGATCATTGATCTGATAATAATTAAACATTACATTGGTGATCTGTAAGTACATAGACATAATTTTGATACTAATTTTTTAATATCAAATAATTTATCTTTTTATTTAATTAAGAATATTTGTTCATAGATTGATGTCAAATACTGTTTACTAAGTCATTTCATCTATTATTTAAAGTTCATTATGAATATTAATGAAGTTAAATTACTGAATATGTTTAAAAAAAAGAAAAGCAGAAGATACTACCGATAATGTTAATTTATACAATATTAATTGTATTATTAATTTTGAAAGGAATATTTTTGAATGACATCCAAAATAATGAATGGGGATAAGTGGGAGGGAAAATGGCCTAAACAACAATCACAGGCTAATAAAACAGTGAAACGAAATATTAGGCGAACTGAAAAGTCTGGATTAAAATTATCAAAATCCTCTAGAGGAACAACACCTAGAGAAAGAACACTTAGAAGACTGGAAAGTAATGAAAGAGAAAGAATGAGAATGCATAGTTTGAATGATGCATTTCAGGTAAAAATATTTTCGATGATCTTTGTGTAGAATTATCTACTTTTAGGATGATTTAAATTATTCCATTTTATAGTCATTACGTGAAGTAATTCCACATGTAACTAAAGAAAGACGATTATCCAAAATTGAAACATTAACTCTGGCAAAAAATTATATAGTTGCCCTGACAGATGTTATATGTGAAATGAGAAATGAAGAAAAAACTACAGATCAGCAAACAGAAGTTTCTGAATCTCAAGAATCATCCAAAAACATGAATATCTGCTTGAATATGAATATTCCAATTCCTTCAAAATCTTGTAGTTAGGGAACTTTTAATATTTACCAGAATAATCATTTGTAAAAGGACATGATTCTAAAAATAGTGCAGGCCTATAAAATAATGAAAATTATTTTTTAACATTAAAATTAGTTTAAATATAAAAATTACTTCAAGAGTACCTTGTTTGAATGTGTTACTAAAATATTAATATGATTTAAGTATTGAAAAATAGAAAAAGATAAGTTGAAATTGCTAAACTCAGAAATCAATACTTAATTTTAATCTAATTTATTTCAATTTATTTGTACTTCTTACAAATATTATATGAACTATTGTGCCAAAGAATACTAATATTTTCATAATATAAAATAGTATTATAATATTAAGAAAGGTCAACATTAATGAATGTATATATATCAAAATATTTTCTGAAATTATTTTTTAATTATAAAGTGCATGGTATATTGTTCCAAATATTAAATCAAGTATTGTTAATTCAGGAAATGCCTACACTATGATGTATATGCATGAACAACTAAAATATAATTTTATTGATATAAAGAAATATAACAAATTTATAAAATATATAGCTAATTTGTTAACCTGATATTTATCTTTTCAAATATACATGTGAGAATAAAAAGCAAATAAAAATTTATTTATTTATTTATTCACGTGATATTTGTTATTTCAATACATAAAGAGAAATTATATTATTATAAAATTTAATGTTTAAGAAAAGATGTAAATATGAAAAGGTACAAACAAGTAAATACATGTATTTTCAGAATAAATAATATATTTACTATGTACAAATTATGTTGAAGTTATAAAAAAAATTTTGCATTTGATTATTATTTTCTGTCCATGTTTTAAGATATAGTAATTAAATGCATTAACAAATTAATTAACAACAAAAGAAATAGGCCAACATTCTAAATCTTGTAAATCAACTAACACAACTGTTTGTGTCTTAGAAAATTTTGGAATGCATATCAATCTAATTATTTGTCCTTCCTCTGCTGTGGATACATGCTTAGTATTACCAAGGCTAGTTTCTTATGATAATATAAAAATAAAACACAATGAAGAATATTCTTACCTGTGAGTAGTTTAGTATCATATTTGTCCATATTACCAGCAAAATATACATCAGGACACTCTGTCATAACAAATGGATCAGTCTTGCAAGATGGATAAGTTGGTATAGTATCTGGTGCTGTTGGTGCATAATGTTGCCAATCTAATGTACGTTCTAACCATGTCAATGGTGAAACATTAGCAAGACCAGCAACTTTCATAATATCTATAATAGGTTGACCGCTAGATCCAGCTATAATACGGGAATTGATACTACCAATCCATGGATTAGTTGCTCCATAGAAACTTTTAAACCTAAATTATATAAATATAATAAATATTTTATTGTTTTATGATATCCATATATATTTTGCTACCTAGCACATTGAGGCAAAACACAAGGATGAAGTGGCTGTTGAGGTATTGTATGACACGTTGGATCAAATTCTCCAGGTAGTAATATTACGGGACAGCATTGTACTATGGGATGAAGAAAATTGTCTAGTTTGTGAGCTATTATTGCTGTCTCTTTAAATACAGCTTCATCGTGTGCTTTATTTTCAAAATATCCTTTATGATTATGTGTTTCCACTGATCCTCTTATGCTGTTTCCTAAGTTAATGTCATTATTTATTTTAAGTTGTTGTTATAGCTAATATAAATAAAATACCTGCTATAATAATATACACAATAGATGCCACATCTATTTGACTTTTTTTACAACCAATCATTCCAGTTATCCATTCAGATAAAAGATTTAAACTTAATAAATGTGTATTATTTGCTAGATCTAATCCTGACATTATCAAAATTTTTCCTTTATCTGATGACAACTTGTTAAATGCTGATGGCTTTGGACAACATCCTGGGTAACACCAATCTATTACCTACAATAAATATTTTACGTATTGAAATCAAATAAATTATTTTTAATTTTTATAAATAATTAATTATATAATATCAATATTTACTAAAAATGAACCATTTTCCAATTCATGCCCTAATACAGCACAAACAACACCGGTAACTGCATCTTGAATATTCATGTGATTTCCGACCAATTTAATACGTAATGATTCATCTTCCAAATATAATACATCTTTAAATGATGCATAATTTGATCTAGCCGGTTGAGTTGCTAATTGTAATTCTTCACTAAGTTCACGTAATATTGATGGCTTTAATTCCTGATGTTTATATAATGTTCCTATTACGATAGAATCATTATTTTCAGTTCTTTCAGAAACTTCCGATATCGTCACAACTTTGTATTGTGCTGTAACAACATAATATGTATTAAGAAAATAACCTAGAATTAATAATAGATGTAACCTCTATAAATATATTTACCCCACTTGATTTTCGCCTGTTGCAAGAGATGATCTTTCAATGCTGTTAATCGTGCATTGTATATGTTACAGTACTGTTTTGTAAAATTCTTTGAAAGAATTTTAAACTTCTCAAAATCTTGAAACTCAACTGATTTGCGACGATGTACTAATGGCGGGTCAACTTCCATTTAAAAAAGCGCTTTTTTTATATTTTCGAACTATATTTAATTTATAATAAATATATCATACCAACTAAAATTAATTAATTGCAACGCATTCAAATCATGAAAGAAGAAAAAATATTTAATGCACATACACGTTTATCTTATCTATGTACTTCATATCTGGATTATATATGGCTTGTATGTAAAAATTTGTTAAAAATATATAATTGTTAGGCGCATGATTTAAAATGTAATAAAATAATGAATATTGAAACATAAATTAACAGAAATTATTTGATATAAATGTCAAAAGAATATTATTTTAAATATCTATTATTATTAATTTTACACAGAATATTGAATAGTTAAATACAAGGTAATTATTTATTTCCTTAAGATTATAAATTTAACTTAAAATGGATTAAAAAATCAATTGCTATTAATGTGTATGAAATAATTTATTTTACATTGATATTAATACTTATTCTTATTTTCTGACTATATTGTAAATAAAAATGATGCACAACCTTGAATATATAAATATTGAAAGAACAAATTTAAAATACAAATAGCAGAATACACGTATATTAAATTAATTGTTACCAAATAATACTCTACAACACGTAAAACATTTTGAATTGATTATAAAGTTATGCTGGATTTGGCGGTAATCCCATTGACCAAGCATCTAATAATTTTTTATCATGAGGTCCAGCACCTAAGCTAAGCATAAGTCCAGAAAGGTCACCACTATGTCCACGACCTTTCATGGCATGAACTACTTTCGCTATGCTGTAATTAAACCAAAAATTATATTAACTTATGAATATCAAATAAAATTTATTTCATAAATATTTCTAATAACTGTACTTTGCCCATTCTTCTTGTAGTGCAGCAAAATGTGCTTTAAGAGTAGAATTTCCAAGTTTTTCATTATCAAGTGATTTTTCAATCTTTGTCAGTAACGTTGGAAGCTTAAGCGGTAATGTACCTGTCCATCTAACGACATGCGAGCTCGAATTTTCAATTTTATGCTCACCAGATATAATATCCAATCTACATACATTTGCACATGGTAAAGGTACAGCCACTGATGTATCCACGCCTAAAATTAACAAAATAACTTATAAAATATTTAATACAAAGTTTCAAATTACTAGATTTTTCGTCCTAAATAGAATACAAGTACCGATAAAGTTGCACTTATTAGGATCCATATATTCTGTTGCTTGAGTTTTAACTCTTCTACATGCACGTGGAATAAGAGAACTAAGTCCATACAAAGATTCCAATCTTTGAATATTTGGACCTCTTACCAAAATTTGAACACCTGTTAAACTAGAATATAAAAGTTGCCTAAACTGTTCTTTTCCTAACGTGATTCTTAAATCTCTAAGTATTACTGTAGTGGATTTTCCTGAGACTTCTGAGAATTCAGATGTTATTTCTTGTTCATTCGAATTTAAATTTAAATTTATAGGTAATTTAGCATTTACTAAAGTGAATCCATCTTCAGTTTCTGAAAAAAATTTTTTTTGAAACAAAATATATTTGTATTAAAAATTTTTTATACATATATTGCTTTCATAATACAAACCGATCTGATGCTCCAAATTATAGTTTAATTCATCATCTAACAAACTCATGGGAAAAATTTCCACAAAATGTCTTGCTCCTGCACTAAGAATCCATACTAACCACATGTGGATTCTAATTTAATTGCAATTTATTAATATTATCGTTTATAAATATGTATTAAATATTGTTATTAAAAAATTCAAAGCATACCGTATAAAAACATGTTTTTCATTAGTTATGTTGGTTAAAGTTCTAGGCTGTTTGTTTGAACTATTATATGATCCTGATCCATTGTTAGTTGACAAACGAACAACTCTTTGTGGACACTCTGCTTCTTCTGCATTGTATTTTTTTTCAGCAAAGTCTTGTAGCTCTCTAATCACTTCTTTTAAATTGTCAACTAAAAAAGGCCACATGTTTAAGAGAAATTGTTTGTCTCTCATGAAAACAATAAAACTGCACCATTTGCGAAAACCTCTTGCCTGGAAAAAAAGAAAGAAAGATTACTTTACATAAATGAAGTTTCCTTTTACTTTTATCTAAATATTAAAATTAGAATTATTGACATGATTTGAATAATTTGTTGTAATAGCTACCAAACATGCTTTTTCGTTGCATAATTCACCTGGGCATCTTTTAATGTAAATGTATGACTTAAAACATGCCCCCTATATTCATCTCCAAAGTAGCAAACACCTTCTTTACCAGGATGTACTTCACAGCTTAAACTCCTTAAATAATTAAAATCAAAATATAATTTTTAGTTCCTCAACTAATATACTATATATTCATTTTAATAAAACATATAATAAACTTAACGCATTCATAGTCCCTTGACCCAAATAAGGGTCACTGTACTCCCTACTCATATATTCTCTGACTCAAACAGAGGTCAAGAGAATTCAAAATAAACAGTCCTATTGTTTGCAACAATGTATGAGTAGGGTATACATTTTTGTTCTGGACTGCAAACGTATTAATATTGTATAATTATTATACCTAAAACATGCATGTTTTAACAGGCACCAAACATCTTGCGTTAATGATTGTTGAGCAGAAAGGAATGATGTCCTAGTTTCATGTTCATTACTTAGGTACTTTACATTGCCAATGCTTTGACATCCTTCGCATTCATACTGCTCATCTTCAACAATATTTTGACTCCGTCTTAATATTTCTTTTGGTCCATAAAATTTCAATTTCTCTGTACTTTGATTATCGTAATTACGATACGTTTGAGTTGTGAATATTACTTTAGGTCCATGTGATTCACAAAAAATACATAAAGCAATCACAGCATTCATTGTTAATGTAACTTCTTTGTACGAGTATTACAAATTTATTATTCTTCATATATTTTCATTGCTTTATTATTCTTATTACGTTTAATACATATGACTTATGGATACAAACATGTTAGATTTTGACGAAAATTAAACATAATATCAAACTATTATATTATAAATACATGTTTAACGATTATAGAAGCTCGAATTATAATAATTTTCAACATAACCTCTGGGTCTAGTAGCAGTCACAAAGTATAGCTACTGAAAAAACACAATGAGAATATGTTATTTATCTACTTTTAGTTCACGTTTTAAAAACAATGAAATTGACTTTTTTCTGCTTTTTCACGTGATAAGCTAGAAACGAAAGCAAGCCAGAAGCACGTGACATTATGATAATCTTTCATACATATCTGTATAGTACACACATTTACATATATCATTTATTGGATGAATCGTATTTATATACATATACATACACCTGAACTTGCAACGACCTCGCACAAGTAAAAAAACAGAGAAATATTTATACATGTATAGAATAATATTATTCATTATAAAACAAGATACGTAATATGAAAATATCAATTAATCAATTAGTCAATTTTTAAACATTAATGAGTTCCGGTTTAATAAATTTACTTTAATATAAATCATATAAAATTGTAGCATATATACAATTAATTTTGCAAAAATAATATTATAAACTTACAAATTACATAGATCATTTAAGAATAAGGGATATAATAAATATATCTGTTTTTTAATTATAATCATTTTTTTTTAATTATAATTCAGTTTTAATTTAGTAACTTCGTATGCAGCTCTCATCCATATACCCACTGCATGTGCTTCAGGATTAGGATACTTAAGTTCCTGTAACATATATTTTGAATAAATTTTTTTAGTTAGTTGAAATAGAGTATACTGACTATTATAAATTGTATTCGTTATATGAATAAGTAAGTATATAAAAAAAATAGATTATAATACTTCATATCCTCCTCTATGCAAAGACTGTGTGTAGGTAGTATTTATAGCAAAGTTTTCAGCAGTTTTTACAATCATAGCAAATGCATCAATAGGATCCATGTTTGTATTCAATCCATTTCTTAAATCTTTTTCCATTGTTGTTAAAACAGTTAGTAGTACTTGGTCATTTATAGAAAATATTCCAAGCTGTTTTATTGTTTCATTTGCTTTATTTAATGCATGCAACCACATATCTGCTGTTACTTCTTTATCACTATCATATTCTGAAAAAGTCTAAAAAATATGTTTCTGTAATATCAATTTACATTATAATTATTTGTAACTTACTTTGGCAACATTGTAAAATAGTAAAGAGTATAATCCTCCTTGTGAACCACCCACTGTTCTTTCAATAATTTGACTAATTTGTGTAAATGCTGCATACACATTTGTTCCTAATATTTTCTTTTGCTGTAAAATGTTGTTCTATTTAAAATCGAAAAATTCTTTTGTTCATCAAATAATATATAACCTGAATAGCCTGTTGTACTGCATTAGCTCCACGTGCAAGACTTGTACCACAATTCCCATTTCCGAATTGTTCATCCATTTTATTTAATTGTTTTGTACATGCTATTATTGCTTCACATGCCATTGATATAATGGATAAAAATACTTGACTAGTTTTATAACTAAATATTGGTCCATGTATATTTGTGTCATATGGAGTAATATTCTGCATTCAGATTTTATTTTCTTAATAAATTATACACAGTATTATCATACAAATGAATCATGGAAACTTAATTACCTTAGAATGCCTTTTTGATGTAATTAGTTGTGCTGTATCATCCTGAAAATTAATTTTAAATTATAATTCAGTCAAATAAATCAAAACATAACTTAGATGTATGGAACTATTACATTTTTAATATTCATTATTTCAAATGTTAACACTTTTGGCCAAGCAGGTGCATATGATGGATGATCTAAATATTTAATTAATATTGTAGTAAACGAAAGATTTAATAAACAAACATGAAAACCAATGTTTTCAGTCACCAATGATTTCATATATATTCTTTTCATTTTCAAACCACATTTTTCTATTTGTTTTAGGAGTTCTAAGATAAAAATATTTGTTTCTACTTGATTACAACCTAAAAAAATAGGTATAAAGACAACATTGAAATGAGCAAATGAAATTTATAAATATTTGATTCCTTTACAATACCAAAATTATTGATTAAAATTGCAACCTCATGGCCAGTATGAAATGTTTTGGTTCCATATGTATATGTATTACTTTGATCTGATTCTAAATTCAATACATTCATTATAGGTTTTAGTGCTTGCTTAGCTAAATTTGAAAATGCTTCTATTTCATGTTTCTCAGATAATGTATTTTTATATTCTGAAAGATATCAATTTTTTATATATTACGTTGCTATGTAAATATAATTTTTTAATAATTTTACCTGCTTTTAAAGAAACTATTTCTCCACTGCTTGCAATTGAGTTACAAAGAAAATAAATTTCATTTATATCCTTTCCTTCTTCTGACATAGCCCCAGCTATTTTGTAGATAAAAGTTAATGGTAACAAATTTTGTTCTTCAGTAATACTTTCAGAATAATGTGATGTATTATTTATTGTGATTATTTTAACATTATATCCTTTTGCTTCAGCACGTAATTTAGCTGAAGTAAAATTTATTATATATTCTGCATAATTTTGAATGATTAACAATATTCCTATGAATAAATAAATAAATTGATGAATATATTCATTATTATTTTTTGACAACTCATTATTTCAGAATCTCAGAAACACAGTATACTAAGTCCATTTTTTTAAAAAATTGCAATTTACATGTTCTTTCAGTAAAATTTTTCACTCTTTCTGATAATAAATATTAGTTCACTCTAAGTCATTTATTTTTTAATAGTGTAAGAATTATGATAAATCCATATTTGATACAAACATTTTTACTTGTTTAATGTGATCTTTTTCAAACTTTGAACACTATGGTTCTGAGATCCAGATTTTAATGAAGATATATATGTTGCAATGCAATCACATTTCAATTTCATTACCTGTTGTATGATCAAATCCAACTTCTTCAATAACTTTCAAAATGTCATTAACTGGTGGTGCACAAAAAGTATTTCCCAAAATCGCTGCTGTTAACATACCAGGACCTACAAATCCTGTATATGTTAATTCATTTTCTGCTTTGCCACCAGATATTAATTTTACCTGTAATTAATATAACATACCATTTTATATTTGAACTATTTTCTTCCAAACATAAAAAGTTCCTTACCTTCCCAACCATATTTACATAATCTGCACGTAAGATTGCATTATAATGTTCTAGTACACTTAGACCACTATGTAATTTTGTTAGTCCCAAAAGACTTTTCTCAATTATTTCATTTGCATAATCATGTATTATTGTAGACATATTTCTGTATATAAATATTATATAACTAGTCTGAATATATATATTACTTAAATTAATAAGTAACCTAAATATGCAATAATTCAACTATAAAAACCTACAACAGATTTCATTAAAATGTACAATTAAAAACAACTATGTTTGTTAAAGTTTTTAATGACTGCATTAAAATAATAAGCATATTTCTAGTACATAAAGATAAAGCTGTCAATATAAGCTGATGATCCATACGATATAAACAAAAAAGTTATCCCCACCACTGACAAGTAGACTCGTTGAAATGTTAGGAAATTGCTCCCGAAGAACTGTGATGTGATCCGGGCTACTAGGTATATTTGTGCAATAAATCGATGCAAGAATAGAACTTTCTTATTTTTTTATTATGAAACTATTACCAATATATTTTTGGCACTCTTGATTAAAATTAGATCAAACACAATGTAATTAGGGATATATTTACTCATAATAACTTATTGGTAAAGCCGACGATATAAGTGAAATGTTTGGAAGTGCAACTAGTACAATTTAAAATTATGTTACTATACAGTATCATATACAATTGACAATGAAACAAACTGTAATTTTAAAATAAAAACGAAGGAAAAGAAAAAGACCTTGAATATTATCTTCCAAGAACTTTTCTTTTTATAAATGCAACAAAACATAAAAAAATATAAATGTACTCCTTTTTATAAATAGAACTGCTTATTTTTTATGCAGATCGTTTCTTTGAACCATTCTATATAAAAAAGTATTAGGATGAAATATAAAAAAAAATTAACAATTTATAAAATATTTCAAATTTTTGTATAAAACGTCATTTTTAAATTTGTAACATTTTACGAATTGTTAATTTTTGTTGACTTTGAAAGAATTTATTTACGTAAACAAGTATATAATTCTATTATCTCAAAAGCATCAAAGTACACTGCTGTCTGTTATTAACAATTATCGATTTATATATACTTTGTTATTGCCAATATAATCAAAGATAAATCTCCTTACACCATTTAATTTTTGCATCATATTTTTCTTCTGTTATTTTGAAAATGAATTTTATCTTAGGAACATAGGATACCTCGTATACATCTTCTTTCCTAAAATGTATAAAAATATACTTTAAATAAAACAAAAGCTCTTACATTTAGTGAAAAATGAATTATACGCAATAATATACAGATTAAGAATAAAAATGATACTGTATATAAAGATGCATTTATTTATAATTGCATAATTCAGCCTTAAACGGCCAAATATTACACTACATTTCGACTACTTCTGCAAGCTCTGCTTTTTAAAAATACCATAATTTTATTTTCAAATCTTAAGTAGTCAATCCCTTAAGTGCAAATAAAACAAACAATTTAGAAAGTTTTATTTCAGATCAATGTAGAATAAAATTTTTGAATGCGAAGCTTGCAAATACATTAATGACAAATTTCATTTTGTCTTGTAATCATATAACAATCTTAAACATTATCAGTCTACAAAGTTATACTAAAGGTTGCTTACATAAAAGTATTTAGATACAATTGTCGTAACAATATCAGTAATGTATCATGCATTCACACAATCAATGCATGTAATATGTACATCATTCTGAGATTAAAAATTCATTATTTTCACGCTGCATTCATACCACGCAGGGATCTTTATGTGTACTTAACCCTATCTGGTATGTATTTATGTACTATGTCTTCACTTGCACTATTTTAAAAATCTACAAACGAAAATAACGATTGTATTATATTAATTCTTTTATCATTTAATTTGAATTTTATATTATTTTTACATTTAAAGAAAGTTTCTGTACACTTACATACTCTTTAAAATTTGAGTAGTTTTAAAAATGTGTAATAACATTGAAAAAAATATCTAACAAAATAACAATGTGAACAAAAATATGTATAAAATTAATAAAAATTAACAAATTCTTTTTTAATTTTTGTAGAAATATTGTTTCATACAGATATTATCACATACATAACAGTAACAGTAGATTCTGTTATTTTGAAAATGAATTTTATCTTAGGAACATAGGATACCTCGTATACATCTTCTTTCCTAAAATGTATAAAAATATACTTTAAATAAAACAAAAGCTCTTACATTTAGTGAAAAATGAATTATACGCAATAATATACAGATTAAGAATAAAAATGATACTGTATATAAAGATGCATTTATTTATAATTGCATAATTCAGCCTTAAACGGCCAAATATTACACTACATTTCGACTACTTCTGCAAGCTCTGCTTTTTAAAAATACCATAATTTTATTTTCAAATCTTAAGTAGTCAATCCCTTAAGTGCAAATAAAACAAACAATTTAGAAAGTTTTATTTCAGATCAATGTAGAATAAAATTTTTGAATGCGAAGCTTGCAAATACATTAATGACAAATTTCATTTTGTCTTGTAATCATATAACAATCTTAAACATTATCAGTCTACAAAGTTATACTAAAGGTTGCTTACATAAAAGTATTTAGATACAATTGTCGTAACAATATCAGTAATGTATCATGCATTCACACAATCAATGCATGTAATATGTACATCATTCTGAGATTAAAAATTCATTATTTTCACGCTGCATTCATACCACGCAGGGATCTTTATGTGTACTTAACCCTATCTGGTATGTATTTATGTACTATGTCTTCACTTGCACTATTTTAAAAATCTACAAACGAAAATAACGATTGTATTATATTAATTCTTTTATCATTTAATTTGAATTTTATATTATTTTTACATTTAAAGAAAGTTTCTGTACACTTACATACTCTTTAAAATTTGAGTAGTTTTAAAAATGTGTAATAACATTGAAAAAAATATCTAACAAAATAACAATGTGAACAAAAATATGTATAAAATTAATAAAAATTAACAAATTCTTTTTTAATTTTTGTAGAAATATTGTTTCATACAGATATTATCACATACATAACAGTAACAGTAGAAATATATTTCTGTTCATATATATATATATATGTATATATATATATATATGCGTGTGTGTGTGTGTGTGTACAAAACTTCCAATAAATTCAAATTTGAACTTTCAAGTCTCATATGTACTAAAAAGTTCATTTACATTTTCACAAAAAAATACATATGTAAGTAATTGTAACAAATACATGATGTATGAATTATATAACTGGTTTACTTCATCAATTGCAGTTCTTTGGAATCTTGTAAAGTGAGTTCATTTTTTAACTTTAAGTTTATATATTATTCACTGTTTTCAAGTTAATTTAAAACATAAATCAGGCTAATGTTTTGCACTGTCTGCCATATTATACTACTTTAATATATATCTTCATAGCTTTTACAGATTTCTTTTTTCCTCAAAGGGATTTAGTGATATTATTAAATAATCGTTTACCCCACCATGATTCCAGATCAAATGGTTTAAAATCTGGAAAAGAGAAATTAGCTTAAGTTTAATATATCAATGTAACGCGTAACTATAAAATTAATATTGGACAGAAACAATTATCATTAAACTTTAAATTAAACAAAATATTTTATATCAAATAATTAATAAGAATATTTGTAAAGTGTAGCAAGTGTTTCCCATAAGATGTTCATACATGTTTAAAAAGAAATTAACTTACCTTGAAGACTATCATTTGGTTCACCATCATTATAATATACTATAGAGTTAGGACCTGAAATAAATGAAATATTTAATTTCAATTTGCTTCTTTAACATAATTATAAAGACAAATATTTAAATAATAATCTAATTTAATTAATAATAACAGAAACTTACTAGAAGGCTCTGAACAATCTGAACCATCAGAAGATTCACTTCTTTGCCGTGTATTAACTTGGTTCCATGCTAATAAAAAAAATCATAATATCTATGTTATAAAATGACATTAATATGTAATCATAGATATGAATTCATTATTTTATGTAATTAAAGTTTACATTATTTTTTTGAACTTTCACAATTCATTGTTCAAACAGTTTGTTTAAGAATTTTCAACCTACATTCATAAACAAATTTAATAAGTTCCTCATGTTGAGGTGTAATAACTTCCTGTATTTGATGCCTCTGTGAATTGAGTTTAGATTTTCCATTCATATGAAACACTGGTTTTGGTACATGGCTGCGAAATAAATATTAATTTTATTGCCCATATTAATATAAATAAATATTCTATACTATAAAATTTTTCTTAAGCATGTAATATTTCTGCATGACATTTTATCAATTATAATTTACGATTTTTAAGGAGAACAATACACAGCTTACACATGCTTGTTTTTTATGGAGAAATATGAATTGCGTAATATTGAAATGCTGAAAGTACAAAAAGAGAGAGAGGAAAATGATGAAGCAGAGTTAAGATGGGTTAAGGAACTACTTACCGGGTGCTCTCATGGTCATCATCAGGATCCGCTTTTCTCGTTAAATCACGCAAAGTCTCTAACCTCTCAAGATTCTGACTAATTCCTGAAACGTTATGACATTAAGCGGTTACAATGTTGTAATTACTTACAAACATAATTAAATATTGTTCAAGCATTAGAGTACCTCTTCTTGTCTTGGCGACGATTTTGCTAGGTCCTTTTGATACAGTATACATATTCTTTGTAAGAAGAGCTCAATAATAACTGCGTATTATATTTACGATACCAGATCATCCGAGGTTAATCTTAAATTCTTAGTTTAGACTCAACTAAATCACACGCGATTCGAACCACTACCGAATAGATCAACCACACGGGTTGAAGTGATCAGCATGAAATACACGATGAGTGAACCACGTGACCTTAACTCGTTATATAGCAGTACTATCCACACATTAACAAACATGTACTTACATACACATTGATGGATTAATTTGAAAAATTTAAATCCGAGTATCTTTATATCATGAATGAGGGAAACAGTTTACGTAATATTATTTCCTATAATCAAGGATTTTATGTTAAATTTTACTTGTAGCCTTAATTAATTGACTCATATTTTATCAATTTTCAATAGGAATATATTTCCATAAACCACAACAGATTAATATAATACGAAGCACGTGGTTAATGAATATGAAAGTATTTTCGTAAACGAAAATAAAACCTCATTATAATCCTTTTTTACATTCTTATATTACATTTAATGATGCATTTTATTGGCAAGCAATGAAAAAGTTTTATATCCAGCAAATTTACTTAAACCTTTTTCTAACAATTACCATTTTATATTTTATATTATAAATAAAATATTAATGAACTACTAATTCATACAAATGAATCATAAACGATGTATTATTATATTATGTAATCACTTTTTTCACTTCATTGTGATTTGATACTACTTTTATATTACAAGAATTAAAATTTTTCAAAAACATGCTTGTTAATGTAGTGGAACATAGGAAAGTTTATTACAAATTATATATAAATTGGAACATTATATATAATGTGTAACAATTTTATAATTTAAAATATACTGTGGAACTTATGAAAACAGAAAATAATTTTAATTCTTTCAACATTCAATGCTAATTGAAATGATTATATTAAATAAAATAACAATTTCTTAAATTATTACATACAAGAAAATTAATTAGTATGTAATCATAATATGAATTATTAACATGATTTATAAATAAAAAAATTTATTTTATTTTATGATTTAATTTATATCTATATGAAAAATATGAACATACAGAAACAAGGCATTTCATTTCTTTCTGAATAATAAAACTTAATATGTTCAGTGTTATTATAAGTTACAATATTTGTCAAAAGTAATACATATGTAGTAAAAATATTTTACTATCTGATATCAAAATAAAATATTCATCAGTAGAAAGAATATGATACATAGTAGCTTCATAAAATCAAATATTTCAACACAATTCTGCCATTTCTATTATAAAGAATATCAAATCTTTTTATAATATACAACATATTTAACATATAGATTTTGTCCAAGCAAGAATATTTTAACATCACAAAAAAAAAATTTACATAAAAATTCGCCTTTATCAATGATATACTTATGTCATAATTTTAAAATATATTAATAATTGGTAATATCAATACGTAATTATAACAATACTAATAATAATGAATTTATATTACTCTATAATAATAATAATACTTAATAGAAACTAAAATTATTACAAAAGTAAATATATACTATATTTATACAGATCAAGTATAATCGAAACAATTAAATGTAACACAGAGAAATATTTCCATCTATAATTTAATAAAGTCCGTTATTTGATGAAATATTCATTTCTTTGCATTTCAATCTGCAAATTTAAAGAATGTAATTACACAAGTTAATAATTTTTATGTTGCTCCAAGGCATGAGAAAACACATTGCAATATAAATGTTATTTTGAATACAATGTGTTCTTTTATGTACAAATAATATAAATTAATATTTCTATTTTTGTATTACATAACGTTTATATGTAACGATCATTTCAATTTTAAAACAAATTACTCATTATTTCAAAATTTTTACAACGTAATGAAATATTAATTTATGATCATGTAGTATTAATTACATTCTTAAGTACATATAAGTGCAAAGCATTTTCTTTTTCCTTATTTTTCTTTTACTTTTTCCCTTGTTTTATTATAACTTCTGATATCAGAAGTGTTACTAGAAGCAGTGATTTATGAGAGAATGTAGTTTTTCAATATTAAATTAGATCAAACTTAACTTCTTTAAATTTCTTAAAAATTAAAATTATGTTTAAAGAGCAAATAAAGATTTATCCTGATCCTTATTAATTTGACGTTGAATGTTAGAATTCTCAGAATTTGTTGTTCCAGTAGCAGTAGTAGTTACAGGTAGAGTAGGTAAAGCTTCAGCTGCAGCAGCTCTTTCTGCTAAGAAACGTTCAAATTCCGATGATGTTAAAGATTCCTGGTCGCCATGTGCTCCTGGCTACAAAAGAAAGTAAAAACCTATTTTAACAATTATTGCATACAGAATATTTTAATAGTAATAAGTATAATCAAAAGATTTTTGGAACATTGTAATTAATTGCTAATAAATTAAAATAAGATTTCCTTATCTCTATGAAAATAATTATATTATTTTGGATCCAATTATTGAATAATAATATTTCCATACATTTTTAGGTTCAATTTTGGAAAGAGAAATTGGAAAGAATTAGTTTTTGTTTTACTATTACACAGGCTTACCGTATGATCTAACCAAGCTGCCATTTCATTAAATTCAGATTCCCGGTTCAGCTGAATGTTAAAACAAAGAGCAAGAAATAAAAATAAACACATTCAACAAAATAATAAAATATAATATATATATGTGTATGTACATACAAAGTGTCTTGTAATATATGGAATTCATTAAAGAAATTGATTTAGTATTTGAAAATGATGAAAGCGGTTCATACAACCATATGCGCTACTTAATCTCCCTTTTAATGTAATACAACTCTTTCTACTTTGCTTACAAATTACGTTTTTTATATGATACATTCAAATATTTTGTAAATAATAACATAATGTGTTTTAGTAAGCTTAGCTCTTTTTATGAATGAAAACATTACTTATTAAAATTTTATTAATGGAAAGCCAAGGAATCAATGATGAACTGGCTGCGAGCATGTACTGAACTACAAGATAATCATTTTGAGTACTTGTGAAAATAAATACTAAATACTACATAATACAGTATAAAATTACATTTCATAAATAACATGAAGTGGAACATATGATTGTATCAACTTTCCTTGTTATTTTCAAATTCTTCTGAATCAATTTCTGAAATGTATAAAACTTTAATACATAGGTATAAACATACTATTGAAACTATCGAACATTTTGCACTTTAATGATCAGCTACATACTTCAAATTATTTTTTATGTTTGTCTCTTTCTACTGTATATTTGACTACATATAAGAAATATGCAATTATGTTCAATATAGTCCTGTATGTATTTATATATACATACAATTGGAATATAGTAACATCATAAATGCGATAACAAAAAAAATTAACCAAATCGTTAGTTCGACAGTCCTGTACATACATACATATACAAAAATAGCGAAATGAAGAAAATTGAATGTTTCATGCTCTAAAAAGTTATGCATTAAAGAAAAATAAATTTTACTTCAAGCTATTAAATTAATGAAAACATAATATTCAAATATTATAAAACTGGATTAATACGATGTTCTTACCTCTATTAAGATAGATAATTCTAAGCTCTTTGTATAAATTCATAACTAAATTATTAATATCATATGATCAAATTTATATAAAGTCTTTCTTGAATTTCTATTAAACTTACTGCTTTTTAAACTAAATAAATAATCAACGCTATATCAGTTAGTTAGTAATATCAACTAAATGCTTTCTAATAATTAATATAGTAAGAGCGGGGGTTACACACAGAAGTAGCAGTAGTAGGAGCAACTGTAGAAGCAGTCTGTTGGGGATATTTAGGATTACTGCGGTTGAGAATCGCAGTACTGAGGCTTCCTCCGCTCACCTGCTCCAAATTATCTTCATACTTGCTACCACTGTAATTGATATAATTTAGCATTGCATGATAAATAATTATAAATAAAATTAAAAATTGTTTAAATATCAAAAACCTGTTCTTTGTAGTTTCGTAGGTCGTGTTACGTGACTGTGCAAACATATCAAATTCATCGCTATCGCCTTCTTTCTTTTCTTTTCGATCTATCCTATTTTTATCTGCATTGTCAGATATGTCTGCAATATAAAAGAAAGCAATTTAAAACGTATTATTAACTTATTGTAAGATGTAATACGTACCCATTCCTGTAATTTTATTTTCTAAAGTATCAGTTTCATCTGATAAATCTATAAGAGAATCAGCTTCTTTTTTAGTATTTGATGAAGCGGTATCCATGTTTGGTGGGTGACCGATTGTTTGTGCCAAAATGGCACTTGCAGCCACAGCTTTATTTTTTGTGTAACGCGAATAACGCAAAAATAAATTATTCAACTCATCATTAATGCGTAATAATTCTGCTGTCATTTCATCATGTGCTAACTTTCCAATTAAATCCACAACTCGTTCTTGCATTGCTTTGCATGTAGAATGAAGTTCCTTTAAATATAAAAATGCATGACAATATATTAACGAATATCTTGATTTATTTTATTCATTGAAATTATTGTGAATGTGTTCAGCATACTATATAATTAGAAAGATTAAGTAGATATTTATTTGGAAAGAACTTTTTCTAGTATACTATTAAATAAATATTTATATTCATACAGTTAGGAGCTCAAAATCAGCAGGATCTGGTTGTTGGCTATTGTTTTGATCAGAACTGGTAAAATATGCCAACATTTCTGATAAAACATGCATGTTTCCTTGTACAACATCAAGTTCACTTTGTAATTTAGCCATTTGTTGTTCATTCAACTGAGTTAACTGTCCTGAAGATTGATTTTGAGATTGCTGATTTTGTAACGTTGTAGATGTTATTGATTGCTGTTCAGTCGTAGAAACATTTATAACACTTTGTTCTGATTCAGGTACGCTCTACAATTTTATTAATAATAAGAAATTTTTAGAAAAAATTATTATGTAAATTATTTAATATAATAATAATCTTACTCGTTCTGGAGTAATAATGGGGGCCATGGCATCTAAATCTGTCATTGGAAATTGTATACCTTTCAGTTTTAGTTCTTGGTATACCTGTACAACTCCTTGAGTATGGGGTTGATGACGGAATGTATCTGCCCATGTTTGAATTAAACTTAGAACTTTTTCTTGCACTGCTGTTGGTGGTTCATTTTTTGGTCCAATTAACTTAACTAGTTCTTGTATAAACTCTCGCGAACAAGCAAGAGCATGAAAGCGCTTTCCACAATTTTTTACGCATGTCTCTAGTACCTATTTCATAAATATTTATGAATTTTTGTGTCTATCAAAATTTTTTATAAAGTAATAAGTTTTAATAAAAAGTTCTGACTAATCAAGTAAATTAATTAGAAATTAATGAGAAATAAATACCTTGTATCATTATTTAATTGTATAAAATAATTTTAACATATCTTGTCTAAAATATAAATATTACCAAATGTTTAGGTACTAACAGTAAGAGTATACATGACTATAGTATAATTCTTTCCTGCAGCTTGATTGAGTCTACGCTTAATTGCTTTAATTGCATCTCTTGGCCCATCCTCTGTTTCATTTATTATATCACATATTTCCATATTAAGCGTCCAGTTTTCACTTGGCAAACTACCATCTGTAGCTTGCTCTGGAATATACAGATAATACATATTTACATTAACTAATTTTTTTTTAGATTTGTTCATAAATTTTTCCTTTATTTATTACTAATGATTAATAAAATATAATTTCAGAAAGTATATACATATATGTGATTTTTTAGACGATTTTTAATGCTGTGTAAGTATGTGCGCGCGCGCACATATGTATGACAAATGTATACGCATATAGAAAGAAATCTATAAGTATTTAAATACTTATCTCTATTAATGTACACTAAACTGTTTAAAGTCATGATCATTAACATCTATTAAAATAATCGGCATGACGTTTATCACAAAGGTAAATAAGGAACTCACCTATCTTTTGGCCTACTGGTGTTGAAAATGGATTGACATTTACTCCAAAAAATGACATCGTTGTACGATATATAAAACTGTTTCAATACTGGATGCTGTTAGTTTGACTTACTTGTGCATATATAAGGCACGTACCAAATTTTGACAGGAACAGTATTTGATAGTAAATTATAAATTTATTATTCCACTGAATGATAGTATCATATGACCCACACGATGATAAAGGCAGCCGTCAAAGTGTCATGAAACTCTACCAATCAGACACAGTTCTTTGTGATTTGTATTATGATTGGTTCGAAGTGTACCTTTAACCTTAATACGTATAGAATCGTTAGTTTAAAATAAATTTCTTAACAATTTCTTAGGCTTCAAAAAAATTAGTAATTACGTACTCTATATATATTTGCAAAATAAAATTATTTCCATTTTATTGCTTTCTTTCTTTGTTTGCTTTCTTATTTTCAATTATTTAAAATTGAATTTTTATTTCGGTTTATGGAATTGAAGAAATTGCTTATACAAAAGTATATTATATAAAATTTCTTTTAGATAAAGCGAATAGTAACCTACCAAAAATTGTGTATATGTAAAGGCGCGTTTAGATTAAATGAGTGATTCCACTGAAATCTGTTGAGCTCTCGATCTAAATGGCAAATACTCATACTTCCCTTACTTCGGCAAAATTCAAATTTACACAAACTTTCTTCCATCGATATATAAGTAGATATTCATCGAATCGATGTTCAACATAAACGAATATTCGAACAATGAGAAACTTATTAATTTGATGCGATTCAACATATGTAATTTGTATATATTTACTGAGAATGTCACTTTGATTTTTGATTGACATTTAAATTTTTGTAATTGCATTATTGTACGTTAGAGATCGCAGTAAAAGAAAAATGTCTGGTTGCGCGGCAACCAGCTTAAAATTCTAAACACTTTAACGCAAGTTAATCGGCTTCTTTTAGTAATTAAATAAATCAACTTGTGCAACTTACGTAAAATACTCTGTAAGAAAATGATTGACGAGGATGTTCCTACAATACTTCAAGAATTTGTACAACCTCGTGTAATAAGCCAAGATATGCTTATGAATTTAATAATTGATCAAGGACCAAAAGGAGAAGCCGGTAAACTATTTTACGAAGATGGGATCAAATTCGATGAAACGAAAGAAATTCGAATTGAATTTCTTAGTATGTCTCCTATAATTGTAAGATTGCAGTCGTGTTGCACACAGTTGTTTATATTTTTCCTTTTTAGATATTTTGAAAATTGATCATCTGTGGGTAGTACCAAATCTTGTAAAATTAAAATTGTCTAACAATATAATTGAGAAAATAGAAAATCTAGATTATCTTGTTAATTTGAAAGAATTAGATCTTTCTTTCAATCGTATTAGTATAATTGAAAATCTACATAATCTAACAAAACTGGAAATATTACTTCTATTTAATAATGAAATTAGTACTGTACAAGGCATAGATAGTTTATTCAATCTTACAATTTTTAGCATTGGTAATAATGTTATAACAGATTGGGATCATGTATGTAATGAACATAATAAACTTTTGCACATTTATAAATATGTATATTTTTAAATTTGTAAATTAATTATTTCAGGTAATGTATTTAAGAAAGTTTAAAAAGTTACAGAGCTTAAATATGCATGGGAATCCCTGCACTGAAAAAGATGGATATTTGGAATATGTATTTGCATTTATACCTCAATTAATTTACTATCAATACAAAATGATAACTAATGAACAGCGAGATGCAGCAATAGAGAAACATTAGTAATTATAAAATCATAAATAGTTCATAATTTAAAATTTGTTTAAAATATCTTTTTAATTTTAAAATTTAGTAGAGCTTTATGTACTTTGCAAGAGAAGGAAGCAAAAGAAGATGAAGAATTACTTGCACAAAAACAATATGAAGAGAAGTTAGCTTATCATACCAGTGCATTTGTAGAATATCTTGATGGTGAACTTTTTTATCAAATGTTTGCAGATGACAAAGGTTTATAAACGTATTTTTATATATAAAAATAATAGATGTAAATAGTGAAGTAATTTAACAATTAAAACCGATAAAAATTAGAGATAGTTATTTATTTAAATATAAAGTTTTCATACACTAATTTTATATTCAGAGGGCAAAGATCTCAGTATGGTAAATGAAGATACGCAAAATGCTTATGAAGAATATAAGATAAACTTTACTGCTATCAGTCAAGAACTTTGTGAAATAGGTTTAGCAGAAAATGAAAAACGAAAAAATGAAATAGATATTTTTACAGATTGTGTAAATAAAGGTAAAACTGCATCACAGGATCGAGGCAGAGTGTAAGTAATATAATGCACAATAAATATAACATTAAAGTAATAATAATAATAATTTTCTTCTATTTATAATAATAGAATTGTAAATGGAGTATTAGAAAAGAAAAGCAACATTTTATCAACTATTAAGCAATTGTTGAAGAAATTAGTTGGTGATGTAGATAGTGCTACACTTGATGATATAACTCAAAAAGCACATCAACTTTCTGAAGATTTTAATGATATGGTAATTGATGCATGGACAAAATTAATGTCTATTGAAGTAGAATTACATGAACAGATGGAGGTACATTTTAATTAAAACAAACTGCATACAATAATTATTTGGTAAAAGTTTTAAAAAGCAACTTATTTGTTAAAGGACGTAAATGAAGTGCTCAGAATTAATCTTAGTGACATGGTGGATGCATTTCTACAATCTATACGTGGATACTTTTCACAATTACGAAATTCCGAATCAGAATATCATGATACTATTAATGGGGTGATTTTGTATTTCCTTAGTGGGTTGGATGACGATGCAAAAGTACCAGTTCATATGTTAAATTTATGCGAAGATAAAGATACTTTGAATTACAATCTTACTAATTCTCATGAGAAACATTTGCAAGTAAAAATATAATGATAAGTACAAACTGAATACATTAAAAGAGTAAGAAACGAAATAGTTAACTTTGTAGGTACTAGATGCTCGAGAAGATCTTATGTTAAATCGGATAAGAAATTGGCTTGAGGAATATTCTGGGCAGTTAGTAAAGTAAGTTATTTGTTTTTATTTTGTACAAAACCTATATAAAGTAGATTACTATATATTATAATTGAATAGGAATGAAAATGAGAGAAATAATCATCAGATATTAGAAATATCACATTTTGCGGATTCTCAACAACAAGAATTTTTGCATTTATTACAACAATTAAATTTAAATGTGGATGACTCAGAAGTTATTTTAGCTCTTGGGAGTGAAATAATTTAGGAAATAAATGTAAGAGTAAGCATTTTAACAATTGCATTTACTAAATAATAAAACATTAATATATAAACATATTTGTATATATCATTTGTTATAGTATCAAAAAGTATAAGTATTAAAAAATAGAATATGAAAGATCAATTTTCAGTTGATTTCTATTTCTGTTTTAAAGATTCAATATATAGTTTAAGGCCAGCTTGCACTTTTGGTAATTGTATAAGTGTTAAAAATTCATTAAGATCTAATTCTCGATTTTCTTTCAGCCACAGTAAATTATGTCTTCTCAAATCCGATTTTGCTTTCTGTCGAGCTTTAACTACAAAATATTTTTGGTATAATTATACTGAAAAGATAGAATATTTTACTTATATTTTAAGTAATTAAACAAACAATAAACTTACGAGGTATGTTTTTAAAACTTCTTATATAATTTTGGCATTTGCTGATTGCATTTGTCTTATCTGGAACTAATTCATCTACAAGTCCAATTTCTAATGCCTCTTTGGGATGAAATAATGTTCCTCTAAATTAATAAAATATTAATAGTAAATGAAAGTTTGTGTAAACTAATCATTAATAAATTACCGCAGAAGTGCCATTTCAGCTTTTCTATATCCTATTGTATCAATATAAAGCTCTCTGAACCATGTCGGTGCCACAATTCCTAACTTTGTTTCATTCAGTCCTATGGTATGTTTTCCTTCAACAAAAACTCTATATTCACAAGACATTGCTAATAAGCATCCTCCAGCAGGACTGGCACCCTTTGTAAAAATACATAGTATAAACATTTATATACCTTTTAAGATATAGTTGTTCATATTATAACTATTGTTTGTTAAATTATGTTAATTATATTATTAATAGTCAATAAAATAATACATTAATAGCAGCAGCTATTGGTATTCCCAAGCCATATAAAGTTAACCATGTATCTTGCAATGTCTGCCAATATTCAGTTAATTGTTTTTCGTTTTTATTATACATTGACATTATGTCAAGTCCTGCTGAGAATACAGTCGGTAATGAGGATGTCAATATAACACCACTGCATTGTTTTTGTTGTACATCCATTAAAGATTTATTTAAAGCATTTAATAATTCTTTGCTTAAACTATTTACAGGTGGATTTGCCATTGATATTGTAGCAATACCTGATGGATAAAATTATCAATAAAAGTATGAACATAATAATACTGAAGATAATATTACCTGTTTCATTTTCATGTATAACTTCAACAAGTTTAGAGTTTGTTGAGTAAGTTGCATATAAAGGTATTTTTATTTTGTTGAAAATTCTTTTTACTGCAAACATGTTTTGCCAGCTCAATTCTGTTATCAAAATAAAAAAAACTTATTTATAGAATAGCTAGTATTTTATATTTGCTGTGCATGTAATAATTTTGTTTACATAATATAATTAATGTAAAACGTGAGATAACAGTTTTTACTACTCTGAAAGTATTTTTTTTTATTAGAAGCGTTAATTATAAGTGAAATATAAATATAAAAAAATACATAATATACATATATATATACTATCTGTTACTGTAAAATTATTTTGATAATCAAATTTGCATTATCATCAAATAGTTAAAACTGTTGTTTACAACTTCCATTACAAATATTTAGTCTTATTTGATTATTTTGTTATGTTTAATAAACTAAAAGATAATAGTATTCACAAACTATTCAAAATAATACACTGCAAGAATGGGACGGACCGGAATGGAACAAAATGAATCGCGGGCAGGTGCTAATATGGCGGCTATTCTGCTTTATAGTTTCGTGACATCGCCCTTTATCAACATTTTTTTGAGCAAGTTATAAAAGCTCGATTATCGTGTAACAGAAAAAAGAATGTCTTAAATGGACTCGGTTATGTTTGAAAAATAAGTCAAGTAGCAAAATGTCAACCAGATCGCAACTTACGAAAGATTTAAATGGTTTGTCTTGATCTGAATGTTTACGTTCGTATCGTCGAACTGTCATACATCGAGAAAATATATTTATTCTTTCAAATAATTGTTATTTAATAAAGTTTATAAACACTCCACTTATTTTGCTTTTATGTTACAAGTATGCAAATTAGATTATGACATAATTTTATAAATATTTCAACTACATTTATATGCTTTGCAATGTGCTGTGTTACATTCTTTCATAAATTATTCATTTTTTATAGAATCAGTAAAAGCGTTACTTGGTAAGCATGTGAAGATATTACTGAAAAACGTTGTAAAATTGGAAACAAAGCAGGATAAACAAGAAAATCGTGTTCTGGTGAGTAACAATATAAGTATAACAATTAATAATTCTGATTGAATAGAAATAATATTTTAATAAAAGAATATTTATAATCTCAGGTTTTTTCACCATGTCGTCTCTTTCTTTTAACTGCCAAAGTACCCACAAGGGTAAGATTTTATAAGTGTTTTATAACTATAAATAAGTCTAAATGATCATTATAATATACCTTATCTTATACTATGTATTAATTTACAGATCGACTGTCATTTTCATTATCTAGAAATAACATCTATAGAATCCAAAAGAGCAAACCAGTTATCTTTAAGTGTCGGAGAAAGATATTACAATTTTACTACTACAGGAGCAGGTGCAGATACTACTGAAGTAGATGCAATGATTGAGGCCTTACATACTGCAATTCGAAATATCTTTCCCACTGTACCATTAAAGTATGTATTCATTGAAATAAATAACATTAATGTTATTATTATTATTATTATTATTTCTGTTACAGTTATATTATAAGAAAAATAGAGGTAATACCAGCTAGTAGATTACAAAGCATTAGAGGTAGTGAATTAGCTAGGAGTACAGAAGCTACGAGACATACAGGACCTTGTGGTGGATTTTCAACCCAATATGCATGCATGTGTGATTTACATGGTGTGCCATATAGGGAAGAGGTTGCTTGGGTAATATTATTATACATAAAATATGTAAATTATGACATAACATTGCTTACACAGAATTTTATTTGATATAATTTTGTTTACAGGACGTTGATACAATATATCTTTCCCATGATACAAGAGAATTAAATTTGAGGGATTTTGATCACTTAGATCAAAAAGATTTGGTGCCAATTATTTCTGCCTTAGAATATAACACTTGGTTTACAAAATTAAGGGCATCTCATCTTAAGTTAAGTCATGAACCTTTAGAAAGATTGTTGCACGTTATGCGCAGATCTCTTTCCATTCAGGAACTTTATTTAGATAATCTTGGAATTAAATGGTAAAAATAAAGAAGTATATAAATAACATAATGTTAATTATAATATAAAAAATTGAAAAAGCATTTCTTTTTAGGGATTTTGCACATAAATTATCATTAGCTCTAATTTCTAATGCCAATACAATATTACAAACCATTGATTTATCTTACAATACTATTGAAGATAAAGGTAAGTGTTAAATAAAAAAGTGTTCTGTGTATAATGCTTTTTTTCGTAGACCTGTTTAATTTTTATTTTTGTATAGTTTGGTCCATTTTTAAAACATTTTTTAAAATATCCCTGTACAAATTTTTTATTTTTGTAGGAGCCTCTAGCTTGTGTGGGATAATTGCCAAGTTAATGCAAGGTGTGCAAATAACCATTAATGATTCCAATTACTACTACTATTATTATTATTATTATTATTATTAGAGCTTTTCATTTAAATTGTTCCTTATCCCTTTATTATTCAAAATATGATCCTTTATTTTCAATTTTATTGTTTACTTCACTAAGTTAAATAATTATTAATGCATTATACATTCAATTGTGTAACATTTAGCACAGATATATACATAAATTTATATAGTGGGCTAATTGCATACTGTAAATTACATATTTGCTATATTAATGCTAATTACTAGATAAATAACTGACTAAAAGTAACAAATACATTTTTCAATTAATAGTATGATATTTATGTTAATACCATGTTTAAGGAGGCGCACATTTAAGCGGACCTATTGGTAAATTACCTAAAGGTTTACAGAAATTAAATTTAGCACATTGTGGACTAACGGGAAAAGGAATAAGTCAGATTGCACATGCACTGAGTTTAAATAGAAGCATGCCAACTAGTTTGCAATATTTAAATCTTTCAGAAAATTCTTTAAAAGATGATATCAATGTAAGTTTTTACAAAAAAGTGCAAAATTTAATTTATTAACTGATCTTGATATCTTGAATAAGATATATACAACACACTTTCTGTTTGATTACAGAATCTGTGCAATTTTTTAGCACAACCTAACAGCCTAACTCATCTAGATCTAAGTGGTACAGATACTACTTTAGAATGTGTAAGTATTATAACTTCATGTATGTTAGGTGCATAGAACTTAAACAAAATATAACAAAAAATTTAATTTCTATATTTATTTTATTCAGCTGTTTGGTGCTTTACTACGAGGTTGTGCAACGAATCTAGTCCATTTAAATGTTGCTCGTAACTCTTTTTCAAGCAAAAAGACCAAAGAAATACCTCCCAGTTTTAAGCAATTTTTTACAGCTACACTTTCATTAAAGTACTTAAATATTTCTTGCTGCAAATTGCCACTAGAAGCGTTAAAACACTTACTACTTGGTTTGGCATGTAATGAAAGTACGGTTGGTTTAGAACTTGATATGAGTGGAAATAACTTAGGTTCTATGGGTGCTCATGTGTTAGAGTCATGTATCCACGGAGTTCGTTGTATAGCATCACTGGATATTTCAGATAGTAGTATGTACATTTTATTATTTTATTATAAAATTATTATGTAATTTCATTAATAATTAATGAAATGTTTGAATTTTATGTTTTAATTATACTTTTTTACAGATATGGATGTTGATTTAGCACAAGTAATAACTGCAATTGGAAAGAACAAATCTATAAAACAGTTATATATGGGTCGGAATACCGTTAGTATGAAAAGTAAACATATTGCTGTTGTAATGGATGCTCTTGTGCAAATGCTTCAAGAAGATGATTGTGTTTTGCAAGCATTGCATTTACCAGATTCTCGATTAAAATCCGATCTCTACAATCTTATTAATGCTCTTGGTAGTAATACATGTCTTCATACGTTAGATATTAGTGGAAACCAAATTGGTGATCCTGGTGCAAGATTATTAGCAAAGGCACTGCAAATTAATAATCATCTGAGAACAATTATTTATGATAAAAATAATATTACACTTCAAGGTTATGCTGACATTGTTCATGCTTTAGAAAAGTAAGTTTATTTAACATATTAATAATATAAAGTATGTTATGTGTTTTTTCTGATATATAATATTTGTTATAGGAATTGTAGTGTACGACATATGCCCTTTCCAATTTATGACTTGCAACCTTGTATGAAAACATCTGCAGAAAAAACCGAGCAGCTAGCTAAAAAAATACAAGATCTATTGCAAAGAAATGTTACACCATGTAAATATAGTCACGGACAGGCATTTAGATTACAACAGGGATTTTTGTTAAGCTCTACGCAACAGATGGTCGATAGACTTGTTGTACAAACTCAAGATACTATTAAAGCCATTGCTGCAGAAAGCTGTGATGCTAACAATGATATTAATTATGCAACTGGTCTTATACAAGACGCAGATAATTCAAAACAGGTATAAACAATTGAATATTAGATAAATTTGAAATGAAATTTTATGAAAATATTTTTTTTTAGCTTCTACCAAGGTTACATGAAGTTCTTCAACGACGAGATGAAAATAACCCAATTGAACTGAAATTACATGAAATGGCAAATGAACTTCATAAAATTGTAGCTTTATACTTGCAGGTATTTTATAATTAGAGATTTAATATTATTATTTACAGTAGAGTAAGTTGATAATTAATTAAAAATTATTTCATTCGAATGTAGGATTCATTAGATGCTATGATAAAATGTACAAATGAACAATGCCCTACAATAATTTCACAAACCGTAATTAGAGGAGATGAGAGTGAATCGATCGCAATAGAAGATGATTTGCGTATCAGTTGCAAAGAAAAGAATCAAATTAGTAGTGAATTTATTCATACTACGATTACAGAACAAGCTGGAGCAGATATAGTCAATAGAGTCAAGTATGAACCAAACTTACTTATCTAAAACTAAAGTAGTTTTTAATAACAATTTTTATTTTAAATATCCTGAAAAATTTTAATATTTATAATAACTATGCTATATATTTATATTATGTATTTCATTCCTATAAAAGTATGTTATTTGATATGTTTTTGCAACAATAATTTATCATTATATTCTTTTTATAGTGAATTAAATTTAGCTGTTGCTGCTCATATATCTGATAGAATCACAGATGAAGTAATCGAATCATTATCAAGAAGCTATAAAAATCTGGTGTGTATAACAATATAGTATATGAAGTGTATATCTAACAAAATTGTATAAATTTAATATTAAAAATGTTGTATTTATAAGTAATGATAACTATGTATTAATATTTTCAGATTGGGGATTGTGATAATAGAACAAGAAGTAGTACACCAGATGTATTAAGACCTAGTGCTGGTTCAATGAGTAGTGGAAGCGTTATAGGGGTTACAAGTACTGTAGGTACATCTACAACATTACCCGTTGGTAGAACTAGTATTGCATCAGAAGAAGACTGTCCACCAGAAACTTATTCACTTGTTAATTCTATTAGTCAACGTTCTAATGACCAGTCTCCAATGGTAAGTAATTTAAATTAGTTATACATGAAAATTGGTTCTATATGTATAAGTTATAGTTATAATAATTACAACGTTATACTTTCATGCTTAACTAGAAATTGGATTATTTAAATCTTGTAAGTAATTAGATGTAACAAAAAAACATGGTTTATTATTTTGATATTATGTAATCCCTGTAATTACAATATTGCAATTGCCAAAAATAAAATAACAAATACATTTATAATATTATATAAATATTTTCATTTTAGGCAACGCCACATCTGTCAAATAAACGTAAAAGTTTACATGGAAGAAAGTTACGGCCGAAATCTGTAGTTGATTCTGTTGAAGGACTTTCTGCTGATGATATTCCGGACCTACTACCATCACTACCAAAAAGTCAAGCAGAAGGTTAATATTTTTATCATTACATATCTGATAGGTTTATAATTTCCTACATTAACGAGTTCTTTCAGCTATTTCAGAAACAGAACATTCTTTAACAGAATCACTAGATTCTGTTTCTGAGTTGCCTAATACCGTAGGACAACAATTACAACATTTAGTTAAATCTAGACCTCGAAGAACAAAAACTAGAGCACCTACAAGACCAATGTTGCGACCTGATCAACCTATAGATGGTCTAGCTCTTGGAGAAGGTCTTGATGTATTCTTTCGACCAACTACACCAACTACGCCTCTTATATCTCCTACAAGTGATGACAGGTATTACGTTTAAAAATGTAATAACGAATTTTTTAAGTGTCAATTAAAAATCATTTATTTTTTTTCCAACTAAATTATAGCTCTTTACACACTTTTCCAACCGATGGTAGTCCAAATTTATCTCTTACAAGTCACAAAAGTACTCCACCTGATCTAGATAAGAAACCTGCTTGTAATTCACCAATGTTAAAAACGCTTCTTGAACCTGCACCACGATCACGCTCTAGTGATAATTTGGAGAAATTTTCTCCCCTTGTTGGTAGAAGATCTCAAGGGGATTCACCATTAACTGCGTCTCCATTAGCACGACGGAACACAACCGATAATGCTCAAAACCATGAAAGAATAGCTTCAAAATCCGATAATAATAAAGAAACATGTAGTAATGTATGTAATAATAGTATCAGCATTTCTGCTGATGTATCTAAGCGTAGCACATTACCAATTACTAGTTCTGGTACTAGTTCCCGTAATTTACGGGATTATGATGAAAATAGTAAAATGTTACAAATAACTGCTGCAAATTCTTCAGATAAAGATATAGTATCTATTCCCAAAGATTACGAAAACAGAAAAAGTTTATCCAAAAAGTCTACGATAGATACGGATAAGACTGTAAATCAACCCCTACCTTCTCTTAAATTAAGGTCAACAGGTTTTGATCTTCGTAGTCCAACGAACGGTAGCAGTACAAAGAATAATTCAGAGTCATCTAAATCCCCAGTATTAAAACCTTTAACCAAAGGAAATAGTTCTATTAATGATGGAAAAAATAATGGTGCTATTCTGAAAACTAAGCCAACTCCACCTGCAACAGCACCAAAACCAAGGCCTTGGAGTATGGCCACTGATAGAAAATCCGGTAAGATCAATAAGATATCAAGTATAAATTATAGTTTTATTAGCTATTGATATTTAATCGTATTTAAACAATATTTTGAAATGGGTACAATTGTGCATTTGTCATACATATAATTATAGTTATAAAAGAACAGAAAATTGTTTAATGATATAGGTGCACAACATTATTGTATAACATGATTGACAATAACATATCTTATTAACTTAACTTTACAGGCGAATTTAATTTATTAAGCGACGGTTCTAGTCCAAATACTTCAGCTGGAAATACACCTGATTCTGGAGATGCTCTTGATGAATCAACTGATAGCGGTGTAAGTGGCCCAGCTTCATTACCACCAACACTGTCAGCAAGTAGCACGGCTAGTTCTTTAAGCAATACTAGCGTCGAAAAACGATCTGTGAGGGAACTGGCAGCTAGTTTAAATAAGAGTAAACCAGAAAAGAAGGAAAATGGTAAGCAGGAAATACAATGCTTTTATATTGCATGTTCAGTGTATGTATATAGTAATTTGATATACATAACGTGATTTACGCATTAATTGTTTGAATCAAAGACAACATCCTTTTTAATTCCAAGATTACTGCAAACATGCATGTTAAACCCTTAAATTAAGAAGCTTTGCTGTACATATTATTTTAGAGCATACCGCACCTGCAGCATGGAGGTCGGTGCTTCAACGTTCTGTCAAGCAACCTGACGTCAAGGTACTTTATGTGATGTTCCTTTTTGTTTCTTTTTTTTTTTAATTAATTAAAAATATTGATAATATTGCAGCATATACAGTTTTGCTCTTAGAACTTTTTATAAAAGCTTAAAAAGAAATGTTTATTTGCGCTTGAAATTCATTAACATGAATTAATAATTTTAATGTAACACATAACAACATTAAAATATTCTAGAACTGTTTATGAATAGTTGTTTGTGTGAAATATTGTTATCTATACATAACTATTATAATTTCAGGTAACGGAAGTGCCGAAAACGGTTGAAGAAAATCATATAAATTTTAAACTTAGACGTACTTCATTTCTACGTGATTCAAATTTCAACTATAATAACGATGTAGTTGATGTTTGATCGTGATTTATTGCAGTAACAATTTGAAAATCAATGTCAGTGACTTGATACTTATTAAGTTATCTTTCATCAGAATATTATATATTAGGCACAAAAGTATGCAATATGACACGTTTATATTTGTGCCATACTAAATCAAATACAAAACATGTATGTACTAACACAATATTAGTGGCAGGGTACTGGAAGTTTCTATAGAAAGTACCTATGTATTATTAAGGTGGCATTAAAAATCTTATTATAGTTTTTTATAATACTGCATTTCTGACGCAGTTTATATTATTTTAGCAGTAAGTATCTGTATTTAATGTACAAAAAATCGTTTAATGTTATAATAAGTTAGAAAACCTACATTTTTTTAAAAAACATATTTTTATGCTTTTACATTCCTTTAAAGTTTTAGAGAAAGGTCTGTTTGATATCTACAGTGATATTATTTACATGATAAATTTCGTTATATTTGTTTTAACATTTAAATATTTATATATTGTTTGTCGGTACATATAAAACAATATGTTTTATGGTACATTACAAATTACAGTTTTTATTATTTTAAATATCTTATAACTGTTCTACTATACAAAAATCCGCTTCATAAATTTTTATAACGAAACAAATCTGTTCATTCTATTATACAATTGTTCATATACAATTTATTCATTCTTACTAGACTTGAGATATAAAACATAAACTTTTAATTAAATTGTGGTGTAACAGTAATTATGTTTGCTTCTTCCACTATAATATGGTTTTTATTAAATTATATTTTTTAAATACGATATTAAATATTATTTCTAAAACCGTATGGACAATTGGAATTGATAAATGCACAAAAACTTAGAGGATTATAAAATGTATGCTGTGTGCCATATAACATCACAAAATAACATCCTTTGTTTTCCGTATAATAAGAACAAGTTCAAATAAAGTTTTATAGGAAGAACATAATGCTGCCAATAATTTTATCATTGATTCATACGAGTTTACTAACGAAACATGTAAACGTTAGATAATACATAAATTACATATGCGATAAACATAAACAAAAAAAAAAAAGATTTTTACTTAATATAATCGGGAAAGAATTTAGAAAAGACGAAGGTGACTGTTACTATGTTTAACAAATTTTTTTGCAACGTTTGTATATTATATTTGCTATTTTATAACTTGTTAAAAATATATCATAATTAAAACTAATTTACTACAGTCTTTCTGCTATGTATGTCCTTTTATAACAGAGCAGCTTTTTTATAAACAGTTTTTTTGTATTATATAAAAATATATTAAAAAATATGAATACAATACAATTCAATTTATATAAGTATCGTAAGAACTAGTTTTTTTATAGCAAAAGACCTATGTAAATATATATGTATAAAAATTACAAATGGGGAAATTAACCACAATTATAATTACAATTATAAAAGTATTGGAATATCTATTTAATATTTGGTTTGTACTTCAGTAATAATTATAATTAAAAGAATATATTGTATATCCTTTTACATACGGATATTTAGAAACATGTGCTCCATAATTATACTGTATGTTACATTGAAAACATTCCTTTTCTAATACAGTTAACAAAGGGTAAAATGGGAAATATGATTACACATTTGATTACTACGTCAAATTTGAATTATGCCCAACTAATCTTTAGATTTAAAATTATGAATGTTATGTAGATTGAATACTAATAGCAATTTCAGTTTAATAATAACTTGACTGAATAAAAATTTTCTTAAATAATTATTCTAAACATGTAGGTGCAAACTAAACTGACAAAATATACATTCAATTATATGCTCCATTAAATTGATATAATGAATCCTCATATATTGCAAGTCGATATCATACAAGATAATTAAATATAAAATTATTTAATAATTATATGCTTAATAATTATAAATTTGTAATTTAATCACTTCAATGATGAAATAGTACTTGTAAACATGTATGTACTGTACTTTATATAAGTTTATAATACTTAATAATCTGTAAGCATATTACATTGCAGGTGGTTTTTTAAATTGCAGAGATCAGTTATATATGTTTATAAATAACATTAATGTATTAAATTATATTTATTGTAAAAAGTAAAATTTAAACTACTGTGCCAAAAACGAAATTATTTCTTATATTTAAAAAAAAAAATTGAAATTCTAATGTATTTTATATAATATTTTTTATTGTTTCTTTTAATAAAACAATATGTATTAAAATTCATTAAAAAATACATATTACAATATAATTTTAATATTAATTATTATTCTGTATTTTAAAAAAAGGTCACCTGTAATAGACAATATTTTAGTATGTAAATATGTTTGATGCAATTGCAACATATATGTATTAATGAATACATATAATAATTGTATATACATAATATATTAATTTCTTTTCTGTATTTATAGTTATGTATACATATATATGTATTATTTAATATGTACTATTGAATATAATTGGATGTAAGTTAATATCAATACTATACAATAGCAAATTTTGACGTTGAGCTTATTAATGATGCAATATAATATTAGTAACAAATAAAGACTCCTATCATATATCATATATATACATGTAAGAATATAATTTTTTCCAAAACGTATACTAATAATGTTACACAGTGTTATATATTTCAATAATCTATCAAATTCAACTTTGAAAATATAAACTACATATTATGATTTTGTATAAATGCTTTAAAAAGTTTCATATTAATATTTAAAATAACTTTTGTTATAAAAGTGAAACGTATTATTAAAATAATGTTCATCATACTATTAAACAAATATTATAAGAAGAAAGAATTATATTAATAACTTTCACTGGTAAAATCAATTTTATCTTTGATTTTAAAGTTACTATTTTCGATATACCAACAAGTTACTTCTGTAAAATGTTAATTTTTTATAAATAATAAATTCCTATATCTGCTGACATTTTTTCAAAAGAGCTTTTTGCAAAAATTGATGTGATTTGGAGCATGACGGCTTTCCGAGAAGTCAAACTCATAATTTGATGCATATTAGAGTAAATTAAACTAATAAAATTAACTATGTTAATTGCATTAAATCGAAAATGTGGTGATCATCGGAGTTGTCGTCGGACAAGAAGAATTCTATTTTCAAGCTGTTGATAAAGAAGAATTTCATTTGTATTTGATATTCAATTTTATTTATGCTCAATTGTATTTTTAAAAGAAAAACGTTCGTTATTAATTCCATAATTAAATCTGAATCCAAAACCACATATTTTTTAAATCAATTTCAATAAATCGGTTATTTTTAAAAGTTATTATTAATTGACTACTTTAAATATAGAAAAACAAACTCTATAAAAACGATACACATGACGCCATCTAGCGGCACCGCGTGCGAACTAATGAAACTACAGTTTCAAAACCGTGTAGTTCACCTTGTTCGCCGGAGAGATGGCGCCATTTGTTCAATTTTTTTTTATTTAATTAATATTGATTTTATTAATTAATATCCTATATATTTATTAATATTGATTTTTATGCTATTTGCAATATATTCCGTGGGTCCGAAGATATGGTTTATGTCTTTAAAACAATTCGCGCACTATACTGTATCTTGTCGATGATGTAGGAAATGATATACGAATGATATACGAATGGAAAAAAATTATCATTCAAAGATAACTATCACTTTTGTCTTCTACAACGTATTTTGCGTTTAAATTTCGCGGGCAAGACGAACGTTTGTAATTCTGCAACTTCAGAGTTCAGACTTATGTGGATGATCTTTATATATATAGTTTCTTCTCTCACGAGAAATACAATTATATATTGATAATAAAAATTTATGACGTTAACAAATAAAATGTATAAATATTGAAACTATCAAATTGTTAAGTTATTTTAATAATATAAGAATGAAATTCATTAACCAATCACCGATCGTCTATCAGCGTATGTACTTTGTATATTTTTTCATTCTATGTTGACAGAAACTTAGTCGCGTTTCATATTGCTTCTACCCAACTATTAGATATGTCTATTTATGATCTATTTATTCCTATATCTATGCTTCCCCTATATCGCTATTTTCCCCAGGAGATGCCAGATTTGTTCCCCAGTGCACATGTTCGTTTACGCACGTTTATGCGTCCGCTTTATTTTCACTAGGGCGTAGTTAGTATGCGTGTTGCGCATGCGTCTACAATGATTTAAGAAGTTCTGTATTAGTGCGTACTTTCGCGTTGTGAGTCGGCAAAAAGCGAAAACTGAAAACGGCTTTTAAGATTTTTCGATATATAAGAGTTTTTCGGGTCGCGATTCAATACCGAGCGATGTCGAGCACAGAAAAGAAACCATTTCAGCGGTTGCCTACAGACGTCCTACCCTGCCATTATCATATTGTTTTGTCACCGAATCTTAAAACTTTTGTCTTCGATGGCAAAGAGGATGTGCACATTGACGTAAGCGCGATCAATCTGGATTACTTGTTAAAATGTTATTTATTCGTACTGTTTATTGTAAATTTATAATTCGAATAATAAAACAGAAGGTGTTAACCATATGGCAAACATCGCTATAAAATTCATGTTCTGTATGTAGGGCAAATTTCAATATTGCCTTCAGTGGCAATAAATTTATGGGCATTTCTCTTATCTTGTTTTATCTGTACTACAAATTTTGAGAGTGTATACAGTTGTTAAAAATAAAGCATGATAAGATTATTACACGAGAAATCTTTACTCCTTTTTAATATTCAAATGTTTCTTGGTCCTTTTTTAATTTCTTAGTATACTTACAATGATTTTAAATGTTTACAGGTAAAGCAATCTACAGATACTATTGTTTTAAATTCATTGGATATCGATATTAAAACTGCAGCTTTCAATGCTAATGATGGAAAAGTTATTCCAACATCAAAGATTGAACTATGCGCAACAGAAGAAACTGCTACTTTGGTATTTGATGAGAAGTTGCCATCTGGGAAAAGTGGATACATAAGTTTGGAATTTGTAGGAGAAATTAATGACAAAATGAAGGGTTTCTATAGAAGCAAATATATTGGGTATTACAATTTCTATGATATCATATAATACAACTAAATATTAGAAAGACAGGAAGTACATTTCTTTTATTATGAAAAAGATTGCATCAGTTGATATAAACATAGAATTTAACTTCTTCAGTTATAAGATTTAATATTTTATAGAGAAGATAAATATGCTGCGGTAACTTACTTATGTCCTATGTCAGCTCGTAGACTATTTCCTTGTTGGGATGAACCAGCTTTAAAAGCAACTTTCACAATACAGCTTGTACTTCCTCATGATTCACCAGTTATTGGCTTATCAAACATGGTGAGCAGGAATTAATACTTTTAAAATAATAAAATACTTTTATGTTTACAGGACAAATGGAACTGTTAAACATGCAGCAGTAACTCAATTCGAGCCAACAGATGCTAGACGTTGCTTCCCATGCTGGGACGAACCAGCGCACAAAGCTACATTTGATATTACTCTAAATGTACCATCGGGTCTTACAGCACTTTCCAATATGGTAAGCAGCGCCTAGCACTTGCGGTTATATTTTGTTTCGTTTCATTTTTTTTAACTTATGAAAATTAATAGAATTATGTAGTTATATAATTGAAGTGAAACATTTGTTTATTTCAGCCTGTAAAAAGTAAAGAAACAAATGAATCAACTGAGACTTTGATATTTGAGCGGACCCCAATTATGTCAACGTACTTAGTAGCAGTTGTGATTGGTGAATTTGATTACATAGAAAGTACAGCCGACGATGTACTAGTACGAGTGTACACTCCGAAGTTAAAAAAAGAACAAGGACAATTTGCACTAGAAGTAGCAACAAAAGTGTTAATATTTTTTAAAGCTTATTTTGGGATTGCCTATCCACTTCCAAAAATTGATCTTATCGCTATTGCTGACTTCTCATCTGGAGCTATGGAAAATTGGGGTCTAGTCACATATCGCGAAACTTGTCTTTTAGTAGATCCACAAAATACATCTGCCGTCAGGAAGCAATGGATAGCTTTAGTCGTAGCGCATGAATTAGCGCATCAGTGGTTTGGAAATCTTGTAACCATGGAGTGGTGGACGCATTTATGGTTGAACGAAGGCTATGCATCGTTCGTGGAATTTTTATGTGTTTCTTATTTGTTCCCAGAGTACGATATTTGGACACAATTTGTAACTGACACGTTTATCAGAGCGTTGGAATTAGATGCTTTAAAAAACAGTCATCCGATTGAAGTACCAGTTGGTCATCCTTCTGAAATTGACGAGATTTTTGATGATATTTCTTACAATAAAGGTGCATGTGTCATTGGAATGTTGCACTCTTACATTGGCGAGAATGATTTCCGAAAGGGCATGAAGTTGTATTTGAAAAAGCATAGCTACGGCAACGCAACAACCGGAGATCTTTGGGCTGCTTTAGAAGAAGCTAGCAACAAAGATGTACGTAGCGTAATGTCTGCATGGACCGAACAGCAAGGTTTCCCCGTTGTTAGAGTCCAACATCGTCAAGAAGGCAACGATCGAATTTTATCGTTGTCTCAAGAAAGATTTTTAGCTGATGGCTCTTCAGACAATGGAAGCAGCTTATGGATTATACCAATTAGTATAAGCACGTCCAAGGATCCTGAAAAAAGTATATTTAAAGTACTATTGGATGAAAAAACTAAAGAGTTTCGAGTCACAGATGTTGCTGAAAACAATTGGGTAAAGATTAATCCCGGAACAATCGGGTTCTATAGGACTCACTACAGTCCAGAAGCTTTATCTCTTTTACTGCCTGCTGTTAAAAATCATGAGCTACCTCCTCTGGATAGGTTGGGTCTATTAGATGATTTGTTCGCTATGGTACAAGCTGGCCATGCTTCTACCGTGGAAGTGCTTCAACTCATGCAGGCATTTCAACAGGAAGATAACTATACCGTTTGGTCTAGTATAGTCAATAGCTTAGGGAAAATCGGAGTTCTTGTTTCTCACTTAGATTTCGAGGACTCGTTCATGGCATATGGGCGCAATTTAATGCGCGATATTACCACCAAATTAGGTTGGGACCCCAAACCTAACGAAAGTCACTTAGACACTCTTCTACGGTCGCTCGTGCTGGGTCGTATGGCCGCTCTGAACGACGAAGAAACCATAGAAGAAGCAAAAAAGAGATTTGAACTACATGTTTCTGGCACAACACTTCTTGCTGCTGATTTACGCAGCCCCGTTTACCGAGCTGTACTTTCTGTCGGCGATGCTGATACGTATGAAACAATGTTAAGGCTCTATCGAGAAGCAGATTTGCACGAAGAGAAGGACAGAATATTGAGAGCGTTAGGCGCGATCAAAGATGAAACTCTATTAACGAAGGTTCTTGATTTTGCCATGAGCGACGAAGTAAGGGCTCAAGATACGGTATTTGCTATCATGTCGGTAGCAATGACATACAAAGGTCGTCTTATGGCATGGAACTTCTTTAAGAAAAATTGGAAAACGTTGCTCGATCGTTACGGCGGCGGTTTCCTAATTTCGAGATTGGTCAAATTTACCACAGAGAACTTTGTCACCGAAGAATGGGCCAAAGATGTCGAAGAATTTTTCGAGAATCACCCAACACCCGGAACCGAAAGAACAGTTCAACAGAGTATCGAATCCATCAGATTAAACGCGGCATGGCTTTCTAGAGATAAAGATTCCATCAAGGAGTATCTGACCACTAATGTTTAGTAGTAACACGAGTTACTTCTTGCATTGCATTCTCGTCTCTGTTTTGTTACGGCATCATAGTATTTTCCTTCACATACAAAAGATACACGATTACGTCATAGTTACTGGTTGTTTCGTTGAAAATTCTTTGGAGCGACTGTTGAAAAGATGATTTGTAATTTATTGAAAAAATGAATTGTAATTTATAGTATAATTCGTATTCCGATGGCATTTTTATATCGCAGCATTAACTTTATGGCATTTATTTTCTTCGCAGTTCTATAATACACAAACGTGTACTTTTTTCTTCCGAAATACGATGTCTTGAATTTGTGCATTAGTGTTTATTACTTTTATATAGTAAGTAAAACGGAAAAAAAAGGAAACAAGCGTATAGTTACAGTATACATTTATATCACACACCATAATTGTGAAAATTCAAATAAATACTTTTACGCTTGTATCTGAACTAGCATTTAAAACGCCTTGTTCCACGTTTAACGAACCTGACACACAATGAGCTAATTAGACACCAATTTTATATACTTTATTAAAAGTGTGAAATATAAAGAAAAAGAAAATTGGACTTCGTTTGATTCCTCCATTCCGTAGATTAAGATTCATCGAAGCGATCGTCACCCTAGAATTACGTGATTACTCTGTGCGAGGCAAGTAAAAGTCATGTCAGACACTTAAGCATCGTTACGCGCTTACAAGGTAACGATTGCGGAGTACAAGGCATTTCTTATACCCGGCATCGATCAGTGCTTTTAGCTTGCGTAGGAGGGTGTGCTGCTGGCACACACACCGTGAGTCAGCCTCCACTTTCATTATTAGCGTACATCCACCGAAGCAGTGGTGGTTCGTGTCGAGTAGTTTGCCACCCTCTCTCCATTCTCTCTCCCCATCGTTCTGCGCTATGAATACGAAGTGAGCTCGAGTGGTCGAAAGGGACGAGAGCCAGGGACACAGTCAGTCGGATGGAATCAGTTCCCGTGGGTATCCTATGAAGCCGAGGTTCCCAGGACGCGCACGCGACCCAGGATAGGGAAACCCGATCAATACGAACTTTGCGAACTCCTACACCCTGTAACGATACGTCGTCCACGCGTACCTAGGTTCTCTCCGACGAAGACAACCACCGCTCCTCCCTCGCACGTGTGCGTGGATTATTACGTACACGTGTGCCTATTTAACCCCACCCTCATGCGTGTACGTATATCATGGGACACTCGCGGATTTATCGCTTTCAACGATGTAGGAAGCGGGAAAACGACCTAACAAGAAACTGCCGATGGGGATCGTTATGTGCGACCATCATGGAAGCGCTCTTTTTTTACGGGGATGATCGTCAATCTTCTTTTATCTATACATTTTTATTCGTTTCTTCGCTTTATGCAATTCGTATCTATTTAAACTAATTACAGAATTGTCAACTACAAGTTTGTTATTCGTTCAAATTTATTTTACGTCAGATATTAATTCAGAGGTTCAGATTTGTTCAAACTTATTTAGATTTATTGAAAGAAATTTATTTTAGCAAAATTCTTTTAAAAAGTTCAGAATTTTTGTTTAATGTAAAGGTACAAGTTTATACTTTTTATACGAGAAATCTATAAAAAAGTACGTATGTACAGTCGAGGTGCATTTTTACTTTCACCTTTCATCGAAATGTCAAGAGATTTCATAATTTATAGAACTATGTTGATATAAACGATTTGAATTTTTCGTTTCCGTTCTCTATATGTTTAATTATGAATTTAACAAGGACGAGGTAATTGCAATGAAATAACTGTATACAAAGATAATATCGTATGGACACAGTTTGCATTTATTTCGCGTACGAGCGTACTCGCCCGACAATATACTTACACTTTACAGCCTTTCAGTCTTCGCGAATATACAATAGTTACGGAGAAATCTCTAAATTATAATATGAAAAGCAATAACAACGATAATAATCATGTAATAATAATAATATAGTATCGACATTGTGATTAATGTAATAATAAACATAATACAAATAATTCGCTTTATTATCTACAAGGGGAGTTCAAATAATATAAACTCTGTTCAACATGACGATAAACATTTCTTTTCTACGCGACTACGAAAGAAAATGAACCATTTACGACTGGTCGGGCGCGATATACATATCTATATTAACATAATTTTGATCCTTACTTGTGTCAATAATAATGTTTCCCGGAAATGAGTCTATCACAAGATTTTAAAACGAGGCCCTTAACCGATCGTAACGGAAGATCGAAACCAATTAAATGTAAAAAAATTTACTAGTTTGCGATGGAACAGTATGGAAAATCGACGTAAAAAGAAATGGGCGCAACCGTCGTTACGATATCGGGAAACGATACATGTATAACGCAGCTCGGATTAGGACAGGATTACAAGAATCGGATAGGGAAAGGATAAAAGGAAGTGAGCTGATTAAGATGAGAGATCGTGCGAGGAATGCGGTGAGTTTATGTACAAGTATTTACATTTTCTCGAAGAAAGAGGTTAGATTCGTAAGGTCTTCTTCTTCATCGTCGTTTTCATTCCTGCTTCTCTTTAAACTTCCTTTCTCTTCTACGTCGAACGCATCTTTCCCCTGTCAGGTTTTGAAACGCTTAAAATCTATCTCCTCCGCCGATACCTGACACAGGTTCCTTCTGGACTTCGAATCGTCAAGAAATTACATTCGAGGATGAGCACGAAACTTCAGCAGTAACGCCCTAACAAAACGTTGCTACAAAGACCTGAGTTCTCGATTCGACTCCCCGAAAAAGACACGAACAGTGCCACGACGTTGAAATTCAGAGGCCGACTCGTCAGTCCACGAGCACAAGCTTGCAGCGACCTGGACCTCACTGGAGCTCGTTCGCCGAGACAGGTCACCGTTCCGCGACCATACCGGTCATCGTGGTCGTTGACGTCGTCGTCGTCGTCGGAATGGTCGTCGTGGCGTTCAGTAGCGGTTGAAGGGGTTGTCTCGGCGTCGTCTTCGCGACACTGGACTCGTGGTGGACGTTCGTCTCTTCGAGAGTAGTCTGAAGATCACAGATGTATTCGATCACCCTCTGTATGACTTCGAGCTTCGATAACTTCCGTTTCCTGGGCATGTCAGGGACCAAGGATCTCAGTTTCGTCAGATAGGCGGCCACCTCTTCCGCTTCCAAATCGCGACGAGTCCCGTTGATTCCGATACTACTGTGGAGGATACCTCGGCTTGGCGGTACTCTGCCGCCCACTGGACTCACCACCATCGCCTTCATTGTCGTGTGAGTGTTTTCTTTAGTCGATGCGTTAATGTTCAATTTATCGCCGGACACCAGCGTGTTGTTGATGAAAAAATGTGGGTCGTTGATTAAATTTGATCGGGCACACCTTCGAAACGTGCGGCTGCTTATCCGTCGAACGGACAGTGCACGTACACACACCCCGTATATTTATCGATCCAACCAACCCACCAACAAAGTGAGTGCACGAGACAGAAGAATAGACTGTTCGAAGTCTTTCGTTTTCTGTTCTCTCTACTCTTGTCCACTTTATATAATTTAGTTTTTTAGTTCGCTTTTAGCTCGGACACGAATGTCACACACAGTTTTATGAGAGGTTATTACGAGTTAATTTCACTCGCGAAGAACATTTTCGAACTAACTGGTAAATCCGGTGGATGTAGTTTGCAAATTTTCGAACGCAATGAATGTGCAAGAGAACGGTGCAGCGTACTAAATAAGGACTGTACGTCGCACTCGACAGATCGAAATCAACTGGCCTCCGCCCCTCACCTGCGCGTCTTTATAGCCTTCCCCCACCCCTCGCAGTTCTACCGCGACGCCTCCACTACCCGTACGGCGCAATCGCTGCCGGAATAGAATAGCGTTGGATTTGAACCGCTCACGAAACGGATTCTTATCTGACCTATTTATATGTGCACTTTGGTAAATATTTATGTATATGCACTTTTATTTTATTGAAAAAACGCTCGATATTTATTATCGAGCATAACATCTGAGATTATTTTCTAGAACGAACGAATGAAGAATTGATTTTTTTTAGAACAATTGTATACCTATAGCATGGTATTAAGTTAATTGGTAACTTTTTTAAATTATTAATTAGGAATTGTATTATCGTTTATTTTTCTGTTAATATTTTATATAAATTTATATCAAATTTCACAGGAAGAACGTCATTTGTCATCGTTATTTGGCATTTCTGAAAATTGAATTTTTCAAATTTAAACATTTGCAAATATAAAATTTTTACATTTGTAATTTTTAAATTAGTGAACATAGATGTTTCCAATTTACCAATTTTCAAATTTAGAAAATTAGGAATTTGATTAGAGATTTTTTAATTTAAAAAATTACAAATATAAATATGTCAAGTTAAGAAATTTTGAAATTGAAGAATTGTTTATCCATCAGAATCGGTAAGTGTCTGACACTTGTACGTCCTTGCATGCTGCCCTCGCCGTGCATAGATGCACATCACTGATTTACTACTATTAAAGACACGAAATAAGTCAAATGTTAGAATTTATTACGTATTCACGATTCAGACTGCATTATTTGCATTACTTTTTAATTAACTAATCTCATTATGTCTCTCAATAATCCATCTCCATAATTCTACGAAGCCTAAATCTCATAATTAGTGATTAACTATATAATTTCCGATTTTTTTTTCCTTTAGAACCGTTAAGACCTCTGAGGAATGTAGGTGACTACTTTGTTACCATCTCTAATACTCCTACATTACATGATTCAATTAGTGGCTGCGAATAATAAACACTTTGTTCGAAAGTCCGTGAGAGACCAGGTGTTGCAATCCTGATCCTACAAACCAATCAGATCCACTTTTTAGATGTGAGTAATACATCTGTTACTATAATTTGCAAATGATGTCATACAAAAATTCTCTGGCCTATATTGAAATACAATGGGATCTTTCTTGAAAATACCTAATTAAAAATTTTACTGTTTGGTGCATCTTTTGTATAAAATAATCTAGTGATGGGTATGTGACGTGTAGTCACGGGTATTGATAGATTGTCAATTTTTCAATTTAAAAGATTAATTTTTAAATTTCCCAAATCTTCAAATTTTAAAATATACAAATTTATAAAATTATAAAATCATATATTACTTAACTCTAAATTTGATCATTTCCAAATTTTCAAATGCTTAAATTCCAAAATTGAAAGTACCAAAATATCCAATTTTTAAATTGATACTTTCAACATTTCATAAATCAAAATTTTCGAAATTCTAAAATTCTAAAATCACAAAAATTTAAAAAGTCCAAACTTCCTAAATTTCTATCTCCAGCTTCCTAAGTTCAAAAATTTCAAAATTCTCAAACCTCTATCTCCAACCTCCAAAATACCAAAACTCCCAAGTCTCAAAGCTCCCAATTTCCAAATCCCGAAGTCCTCTCGAAATTTTCTAAATCCCCTAATTCTATCACATTTACCTATTAGATCTATGAACTAACCTTATATCTCATCTCTTCTATCATATCTACTATCAAACGTCATATCCTACATTTCTATCATATCTATTATCAAATATTATATCTCACATTTTCTATTACAGTCATATCCCATATTTCCTCTCATATCTATTATCAAACGTAATATCTCACATTTTCTATTACATCTATCTGAAAACGTAGATGCACGATATCGTTCTGTCGACAGTGCGTGGCATTGCCCGCGAGCTCTCCAGCGGGAGTTCGCTGTGCCGATTAGCTTGATAAATTTGTTCGAACGAATTGGTTCGGTTCGAAGCCGACCGTAGTCGGGGGTGTTTGACGACCATGGGACCAGAGGCGTCGGCGGGACAAGCCGGGCGTGGAAGAGAAGGGCGACGTCGCACTAAAGCCTGCTAGGGGGACAGGGCAGTCCGCGGGCGGGGTGAGGGGCACGGTGTGCGTGAAGGGTTCTAGGCGCGGGTGGAGGAGAGAGAAGGGAGACACGACCATTGTTGAACGTCCGGCGGCGCCAGCCACTAGCCATCACGGCTACCACCACTGATGCATCGTCGCACTAACATCGTCAACGGCAACAACCACCGTCCTCGTGCATGCTCATGGTTCACGAGCTCGGCACTGTGCACCGTCAACCTGTACAGTCGACAGCAAATCTGGTTTCCCTAGGGAAAATATCGTAACTAGCTGTTGCCCTCGTTTCATCACATTTTTAGGTATTTTTAAATTAGGCTATTTTAATATGGGAGGTTGGACTTTGGGAGAGATTCAGACGTTTGGATTTTTGGTGATTTGGGAATTTGGACAATTTGGGGAATTTTTCAGTTTGTGGGTGGGGTTTGGGAATGGGGAAATTTGGGGATTTGGAAATTTGTGAGTGGGGAAATTTGAGAACTTGGAAATTTGTAAATGGGGGATATGGGAATTTGAAAATTTGTGAATGGGGGAATTTGGGAATTTGGAAATTACTGAATGGGGAAATTTAGGGACTTGGAAATTTGGGAACATGGAAATTTGTAAATGGGGGAATTTGGAAATTTGAAAATTTATAAATGGGGGAATTTGGAAATTTGGGAATTTGGAAATTACTGAATGGGGAAATTTAGAGACTTGGAAATTTGGGAACTGAGAGACAAGGGATTTGTAAGTTTGCAAGTAGGGAAATTTGGAAATTTGAATATTAAAAAATGTAGGAGTATAGAAATTTCGAAATTTGTGTTTGGGAATTTGGAAATTACTGAATGGGGAAATTTAGGGACTTGGAATATTTGTGAGTGGGGAAATTTGGGAACTTGGAAATTTGTAAATGGGGGAATTTGGAAGTTTGAAAATTTATAAATGGGGGAATTTGGAAATTTGGAAATTACTGAATGGGGAAATTTAGGGACTTGGAAATTTGTGAGTGGGGAAATTTGGGAATTTGGAAATTACTGAATGGGGAAATTTAGGGATTTGGAAATTTGTGAGTAGAGAGACAAGGGATTTGTAAGTTTGCAAGTAGGGAAATTTGGAAATTTGAATATTAAAAAATGTAGGAGTATAGAAATTTCGAAATTTGTGAAAAGATAATACGAGGATGTTGAATTTCAGGGATTTTCAAGTTTGTGCACAGGGAAATTCTGACCAGTGCAAACTTTGCAATATGTACAAATTAAGAAATCTATATTGCAATACTAAAATTTGAAAATTTGTAAAACGAAAAATGTAAGATCGACATCTAAATTTGAAACCCCGTTCGAAAAAATTGTCAAGTTCGCATGTCCGTAATCCGAAGGAAGTGCACGTTGCACTCGAGTGTACACCATGATTCCGGCTACGGTTTTCTCTATACATATATGCACGTACTCGCGGTGTCAGCGTCGAGACTCTTGCCTTCTTGACTTGCGTGCTCGCGTGTATACAACGTTGTTCTCTCTTTCTCTCTGGCGCTCGTTCACCAGCTCGCTCCTCGTGTCTCTGGTTACTCGGAGTCTCGTTACCGGTTGGGACAAGAACCCACCCGATGTCCGGCGCTATGGACACAGAACAGAGGGAGTCCTTTATTATGCTATGCCTCGGAACGAGTCCCTTGAGCGATCCCGACGAAATTGCGTCGGGACCCGAGGTGACGAGCTCTTTTCTAATCCACAGGGTGTATTGATGCTGACGTACGGAGGGGTGGTATTCGACGATGATCCCCGGTATTTTCTACCCTGAACATATGGAAAATGTAATATTTCTAAGCTTTGAAGTAATTTAATCTTTCATGTAAGTGCGAGTGAACTTTATTATCTTTCGTTGAGCATTATCTGTACTTGGGTTCGTAAACATTTCCAATATTGGTTTCAAGATTGTATGATATGATTAAAGTACTGTTGCACTTCGAACGAACATTGGATTACTTATAAATGAGGTATCTGAGTATCAGTCGAGTGCCAAAACCGTGAATTGTTATAAATCGCATATTTAGTGGTTTCACGTTAGCATTAGATAAGAGGAGATTTATATTTGCATTAAATGTAATATGACGGTTAAATGTAATATGAGAAATATTTATACAGCGGAAGACAACAATATTCGTACACTTGAAATATAGAAAGAAAAAGAACAATATTTTCTATATTATTAAGTATATTTAATCATATATAGCTGTATGTTAAACATTACACTTACAGCAACAAATGACCCAAAACCGAAGGCAACATCACGTAGTAACTTGAAATGACTCGAAATTCACGAGACCGTAAGAAATCGCCGGGACAAAAGTATTCGCACACTTAATTATTGCTACAATTATTTTAGCAGGAATTTTATAAATTAACATTTTGTATGATAACCCTTCCGGCGAATCACTTCACGTAATATATCGGGCATTGACAACACCAAACTTTTAACAAAGTCAGCTTCTATATTACACCATTCTCTTTTTAATATTTCTTTCAAGTGTTCTTTCGACGTTATATCATTTCGCACATTTTTTTCTAGTTTCCATACATGTTCGATAGGATTTAAGTCGAGCAATTGTGGAGGAGTTGCTAACCTGTGGAGAGTATTGGTATTAACAACCACTGACGCTCTATACATATAGGCTGTATGTTTCGCGTCACAGTCTTGCTGAAAATAAAATTCATCTAATTCATTCTAATTCATCTGCACTTTTGTAAATTTTCTTTTAATATATTTAAATATAAATGTTTATCTATTATTATTCATTGCCACCTCCAGAAGTAGCAATACATCCCCACATCCCCATCAATGTTCGTGTTCAAATATTTGTTCCTAACTGTTTTTGTATTCAATACAGTCGT